TATGGCCGGCCAGATAAGATAAGCAACAAGAATCTCTGTCAGGCAGCAAAACGTCGACAACCTGTTACCTGAAAAATATGCCGAATGAAATGGAAAAAGACTGAGCATACACTAAGTAGGTAGTTGTGTGATATCACATGCTAGGTCTTCGATAGGAACCTGAATGGGAAACAATGAGTTGGGCGTTGTCCGTAGGTATCTCATGGAGAAGATGGTGTGAGGGGGAGATTCGTGAAGTCAGCTAAAACGGAATGAAGAGAATGGGGAAAAAAGTAAATATGTTGCTAAAGCCCCATTTTCCACTGGGAACAGAATGGGATTGTAAAATTAATATGCCCATATTCTCTCGGTCTGAATTATTACTAATATTATTGTTTCCTTTAATTCCTAGAGGAACATATGGCTTCAGCCGCACGTTTCTATTTCGTTCGATTCTCTGCCAACATTTTCACCTGGCTCCACGTATGCCCACATGCTTTCATTTCCTCTTCACATGATCACCTGCTTCATGTCACCCTCGCACTGACGACCAACTCGCCACTTCCCATCTGGGTTCCAATCCAGTCATGGCCTAGCGTGTGATTTCATTCATTTGATAGTTTGTTTTCTCAGAGTATGGCCAATCCACTTCTATTTCTTTCTGATTATTTGTTGCACAGTCGGTTTCTGCTGAGTTTGTTCGCTCCAAAAGAGATCTCTGTTGCTGATCTTTTATCACTGGCCATCTGATCTTGAGTATTGAGCGAAGGTCTGTAGTTTGTTCGAAGTGCTCTTTATGACGTGTCAAGTCTCTGATCCATATATTAGCACTGACTTCACATTAGAGTTGAAAATTCGGATGTTATTTCCATTTTTATGCTGAGTGCTGTCGGTCTCTACACGGAGTTAAGATTAATGAAAGCTTGCCTTACTTTCCCGATCCTCGCTTCGATATCCTCGTCAGTTCCGCCTATAGTTGAAACGATGCTTCCCAGGTAGGTGAAGGAGGTTGTTTCTTTCAGGTTCCTCCTATTCATGCTGGCTGATTGTTGTTACTGTTGGTGTTGGCCGGAAATCTTCATCACCTCTGTTTTCTCTAATTCATCTGAAGTGCCATCGTTGTTGCTCCTTCTTCCAACTTGTTGTTTTTCACTTTCATATCTTCCAGTTTGTGGGAAATCAGACATATATCATCGACGAAATCCAGATCTGCCAATTTTTTGTTGTGGTCTATTTTATACCTGTTTCCTTACTGCCTTCCATCGGTCACATTATCCAGTCTACCACCTACAATCAGGAAAATCATTAGAGATAGTAGGCAGCCATCTAACCTTGTCTTACTTCCGTCTTCACTTTGAAGGATTCAGTGAGTTTGCCGTTGTGGATTACTTGGCATGCAGCATTATCGTACAACTGTTGGATGAGGTGTATAAATGTCGGCGGCAGCCCTTAGTATCGAAGTAGTTTCCAAATCACTCAATCTGAATAATATTACATATTTTGACGAAATTAAGATTCATTTCCTGAGAAATATATATATATATATATATATATATATAAGACTATTTAGTCCCTGTCTTTTGAAATATTACTAGAAGAGTACATCCTATAAACATTTTCTGAGCTTTTCCCCCCTCTTTCTTTAATGAACTCATTTTCTTATTGTTTCAATGAAAACCTATTAATCAACATACATAAGATATATACATTTATGCTACTTATAAGTAATATATCAAAAATGAATATGTTAAATATCTCTTCACTTGAATGAATCAAATTTACTTAGATAAATTAACTAAGAAAAAGGTTATAGTGGCATATGGATTGATGACACTACTGTTTAGTAAACAGTATCACTCACGATTATTCATGCTTTCTGATTACTTAAGAAATGTTACAGTTGAATAACTATCAACAGTGAATTTGTGATTAATCTTTCTCCATTTCTCACTCCTTCGCGTTGTAATAAATTATTCACAGTAAATAATAATTTATAAACAATATATATACATATATGAGATTAAAGCACTACTTATATACTACTGATAAGTGTGAAATCACTTAAAGTATGTGCAATCAACACTTCTGTCAACAATGATAATGACACTGAGAAAAGTAAGATTAGAAAATTCGTAATGTCAAATATATATATATATATATATATATATAATGCGTTTAATGTCAGAATTCTATATAAGCCTGCAACTATTTCGATGAGTGGAACATTGACACGACAGAAGTTGTTTTCATGCTGTCTGAGTACAGTATGTACAGTTCAAAACAGCTTTGGAACAAACTTTGTTATGCTAGTGAACTTTCCCAGCTAAAGTTATGATTTTACTCATCAACTTTCTGATATTACTGGTAAAACTTATAACATCAGTTTTGACGTTATTCTGTGTGCTAATTAGCTGAGAAATACAACTGATAATGACTTCCAGGCGGATGGTGAAGGTTGTGTTGACGAGATCTTAGCCTCATAGAATAAAAGAAAGATAATATAACTATTCATAAATGTCGACCTTTGAACTCTTTCAACAGAGACAAACTGTAATATGTGACATAGAGTTTAACAAGCAGAGTTTACACTGCATCACCCTGATTCATTTGCTGACGTTACACAAATCCTATAAATATATGTGTAAAACTTGGGCACTGTGGTAGTAGGTAATTCCATATTAGTTTGTTTATTAGAGGTGTCACACAGTGAAATAGTATTATTTACTGTATGATAAGGTTTCGAACAAAATTCATTGGTCATAATCATATCAATTATAATCAAACGACTTCGAAACTTGAGTTTTATAGTTTTTTTGTTCTCTCCTATTTGTCGTCGTTGGGGTAGTAGAATTTTCCAGATATCTGGATGGACAGGTGTTGAACCATTCCTATTACACGTGTTGGTTTGCAGTTGATTCGATAAACAAAGCTTCCGTTATCAACAATCCCTCCCTCCACTCTGTTACATTCAATTTTTAGACTGTCATCTTATCCCAACCAATTGTATGGCTGTGCATGGCTGAACTATTCTCTAGATTTCTTATCTTATTCGGGCCAACCAATCTATATTTTGCCAGGCTTCTATGCTCGGCTAGTCTGACTTTCCCTGTTCTACTACTTTGACCTATGTGCTTGACCTGACAGTCATCGCACGCAGGGTATTAGATAAACTAAATTGTTTTGTTTTACTGGCTCCACAGGATTGATCGTTTAACCGACAAAGCTTGTTTCTAATTGAGTTTGTGGTTGGTTTGAATTCCAGCCACTTTTATTCCTGCCTTGTTAAGAATTCTGCGTAAGGCTTCCGAGCTTCCTTCCTTGTATGGAATTACTACTGATGGTTTAGATTCCTTCTTTTTGGTGTTGTAATTATTTTGCGCATGTTTGATATGCATGTCGTCATTAATATTACGGTTATTATTATTGTCATTATTGTTATCACTATTACCATTTATTTTATTTTTACATTTCCCTACATACTTTCTGACTAATATATCAGGGTAATTATTAAATTTCAAAGCTTCTCTTATACACCTCACTTCCTGTCTTAGATTTTAGTTTTCACAAATCCTATGATATTTACATCAGCCCCAACGGGTTAATCCCTGACGAAATCTCAGCATGGATACAGAGGGCTAGTTTCGCATATTCCAGCTTACGCCATCTCCGTTGCAGACGTGATGTCCGGCTGGTTATCAGCCAAAGGGAGGGTGTACTGCTCATCAGTTCGCTCCGTCCTCCTTTATGGCTGTGAGACCTGGCCACTGAGAGTGGAAGACATGAAAAGATTAGCTGTCTTTGATCATAGGCGCCTGCGTTCTATCTCCCATGTGAAGTGGTATAATAAGGTGAGCAATATTGAGGTTAGGCGTCGAGTTCTAGGTAAGGAGGGGAAATCAATCGATGAGGTTGTGAAATTACATCGACTGAGATGGTTAGGACATGTGTTACGTATGCCTAGCCATCTCCTTCTTCGATGGGCAATGTTATCTGATATAGGGTCAGGCTGGAAAAAAGCTAGTGGAGGTCAAACAAAAACTTGGCACCAGTCAATGAAATGTACAACAGTTAGTCTAAGCCAAGTAGGAAGGTGTAGACTTCGTGGTTGGGGTCTTCAGGATGGTAAAAACCAATGGTTGGAAACAATTGGTGACATGGCTCAAAATCGTTCTCAGTGGCGCAGATGCATCCACTCCTTGTGACTTACAATTTCCAATGAAACTATATTGTTCTTCGTTATTACTATTCCTTTGTCTCACATCTCTGTTTACTCTCCCTGTTATGCATTTCTTGTCTGGCTTTGTGTGCTACATGGAGTGTGGCGACTTGAACTGCTGCACATCGGTGCAAAGTTCTATGTCGAAAACAGACAGACAGACATGATATTTACATAAGTTTCCCAAAAGAACAAGTATGATTCATAGGTACATCTATGGAAGTGAGTGTGTTGATTAATGATCACACAACCAAGATAAAATATGAACTATTATTCAACATGACCTTTGTCTGCTGTCAGTCGGAGATAATTTTCTGGTACATACTACTGCCAACTGATATGAGTAGTTGAAGTCCAATAATGTATGCCTCCCAGGTAGATATGATCTAAACCCAGGCAGCCACTTCGATTGTTTAGAGACCAGATTATCAGTAGCTTAAGACGAGTGACTCAATTCAAAGCGCTAAATCAGTTCAAAAAACTCCAAGCCGTTATTTATACGTGCATACAGACTAGAGTTCTGATTGATGCAGTGTTGATCATAAGAGGAAACATGGGTTTTCGCAGAAATACCTTTCAAGGTACCCTACTATCTAGAGTAAAACTACTGTAACATAGAGCGATCATTACACACACTAAACATCTGAGCAACCGATATCATTAATTGCATCTGTGTATGTATCGGATTTTGAAGAGTAATGCGATTTCCAAGCGTGAGAACATAGTTATCATAACAAAACTGAGAGCTTAATTTGACCTAAAACAAGTCTTTTTTCTTTATTTTTTCGCCTTCCTTTCTGTCTAGGTCATTCAGGTGTCAATCAATTGGGTGGAATGTTTGTCAACGGTCGACCTTTACCAGATACAACACGTCAACGAATAATTGAATTGGCTCATTCAGGTGCACGTCCATGTGATATTTCACGTATTCTACAAGTATCTAACGGTTGTGTATCAAAGATATTATGTCGGTATTATGAGACTGGATCGATTAGACCAAAAGCAATCGGTGGTAGTAAACCGCGTGTAGCAACAAGTGCTGTTGTAACAAAAATTGACATTTATAAACGTGAATGTCCATCAATATTTGCTTGGGAAATACGTGATCGATTATTGCAAGAGGGTGTCTGTACACCGGATAATATACCTAGTGTAAGTCTGTGTTTAGATATGCTTATTGTCGTCGAAAGTTTATTAAAGTTGGGAAGATTTCATTATGAGATAATACAGACATTCCCTAAATTTAGATAAAAGCCAATTAATGGGCAGAAGGTGACCTTAACTTGGACAGTGGTTACGTAAACTAGTCCTTTGATCTTGTGGACCTTGTTTGGCAGATCTCTAAAGTTGTCTATCAAAAATGCATTATCGGTACACCTTATCTACCTAAGAGAAGCATTACTTGACTTGATTTTTTTAAGACAATTGTTCACCAAATTCAGACTAGGCACACATATTAGTCATATTTTCAGAAATAAGCAATTCCAACACTTCTAGTCGGAACTTCTTCAGAGGAATGATCCTTAAATTGTTTACAAACAAACTTACCTAAAACCTTATTATAGTTCATTAAGTACATTACACTAGTTGCTGACTAGCATTCAATCAAAAATATCCAATACAGTCCTACAGGAGGTCAATCGTGATCCTGAATAGCTCAGTTGTAACGTCTCTGATTGCAGCACTGGGTGACAGAAGGGACATGAGCTCCTTCGACGTTTCAGATATGCCTTGCTTACTGGAGAGTGCCAACTAGCACGAAACCTAGGTTAAGTTGGGATTCCTGCTGATTGCCTTCAACCATCTAATATTAACTATTCAAAGTGCCCCGTGATGGTGAGCCACCTAGTGGCATGGTGGCCACATTTCAAACTTGACTGATAAAACTCACTATGCACAAAGATAGGACTGGGCACACCACACTAGTTACTGACTAGTATCCAATCAAAAAGATGAATATTCTACTTGAAGATTTTATATAGAGAGTAAATATTTTGAGAGGGAATTATACCGAGAATTATGTATCGTGTCTAAAAATAATTTCCAGAATAAAGGTATGACTATTACTGCTGTTACAGTAAGTGAATCAATGAATATACTGGAGATATTTACCAGTATTTCCTTCAAAAGTTTATCTCTAGTCATCATCCTGCATTTCATCAACTTCCTACACATTTAAAATTAATCTGCTTAGGTTATTACCATGATTTCGTCTGCATAAATGATGGATTCAAATAAAGCAATTTTAATTAAACCATGACATTCGACTGGAAAACGTTCCATTATCAACACAGTTATCTTAATCATGAGTGTGAAATGCAAACGAAGTATTCGATGGTTGGAGGCAATAGGCAGGAATCCCAGCTTGACGTAGTTTCGTGCCAGTTGACACTCCCCAGTCAGCAAGGCATATCTGCAACCTTGAACGAACTCATGTCCCTTCTGAAATTCAAACCGGCGTCAACCGGTGTTGCAGTCAGAGACGTTACCACTGAGCTATTCGAACTCGCAGTTGACCTCCTTAGGACTGCATTAGATACATTCATTGGACACTAGCCATTGAAAGTATATAGTATTACTCAAAGCTGTGCTTTCAGAAACAATACTTAATCCCCCGTGATATTTTTCCTTCATTTTTCTTCTTGAAGTACACAGCGATAGATTGGAAGATTGGAGAAAACTAGATGTATTATACTGAATGCAAATTTTGAGTAGCCCATTGAATTAAGTTGGCTATCCTCCTTAATCCTGCTCAGCTATTTTACCACACTGCCACTATTCTGTTTTTCACTCAAACAGATGAAAATTAGAAACACACAATAAGGCATTCATTCAGTCTTTCTGTATTTGTTAATGACAGAATACTAACTTCATGAAACAGATCGATAAACAATTTTCAAATATGTGGCACTAATTACAATACTTGTCCATCTCTTAGTATCCTATATAAGCTCTAAGTCTGTGCTGTTTGTAAAACACAGTCATTGTTATCAGTCTCTGTAAGTACTACATGTATAATTATACTCTGAAGGCATTCTAGAAGAATACCCGAGCTTAGGTTTTGTTATTATTAACACTCCTCATCAAGTAAATAACACTGGTTACTCCTTGCTAACTAATATATTGTGAATCTTTGAAACTCATGCTGGAATATTCTTTCAACTAGTTCCCACATAATGTCAGTTTATCATTCAAAAAAAATAATAAATTTTACTCGGTTTTAAATAATATTTTGGAAAATCTGACTGACATTCAGATTATAGAATTTAAGTGGATTTTCATCACGATCCAATATCAGTTAAAGAGATTATTGAAAACCAGAGGTCACTGAGTAGCTGTTTCCTCCCATTCTGGGACTCCTCAACAGTCAACACCGATGAATCCACGGCTAGGGACCAAACATGGAACCTTCAGGTTACGGGACGAAGCTCTCTAACCATTCGATCATCTCTGTAACTTCACATTTCGTGACAAAAATCTAACTGAAATCTGTCTGATCTGGAGTCTGAGCTTTCCAGCTTTTAATGATGAATCATAAAAAATGACGCCGTTAATCAGTTTTATCCTGGGGATAGATGATTATAGATGACAGTAAATAATGATTACATTGTATTACGAAGTAATATAATTCTGGAAAGAAGTATGGGCATATGGCTCGTGGTAGTTCAATGATAGAATTCTCAGCTGGTAACTGGAATGTCCGGGTTCGATTACCCGATAACGTAATCCTAAACCGATATTAAACTGGTTAAATAGGAAAGGTTGAGAGTGAGGCTAGTAACCCCCACCTTATGAGAAAAGTAATATCAACGCTAACGAAACTTCACGGATGAAGCCTGAAGCCCTACGTTTTAGGGATACTACCCTAGACTCAGGGTTCAAAAAGTCGAAAAATTGAAAATTTCTGAAAACGCTTCCAAATGACTAAGGAAAGTGTAAAATTGGTTTTAGTACTTGTGACTATGGGGTTTTGAGCTTATCTAGGCCTAATAGCGCTCAGCTAGGCTGCCTTCCTTACTACCCACAAATCCTATAGTAAACATGCATAAGCTGTATAGACGATGTGAGCGTGAGTTATACCATTCTCATATCTCGCTTATATGATTATGGATGATTCTCTATCGTCGTGGTAGACGTATAGAGCCCTATGCTTTACTCAGAGCACCACCAGTCAAGGCATATGAATTGTAATTCGCTGACTAATTGTCAACTTACAGTCTTTAAAATCCAGCTACTCTAAGTGTGAACCCCATGGAATAATATACATATTGAAGAATAGTCGCAAATTAGAATTAAGTGAATATTATTTATAAAAGTACTTAAAATAATCCCAGAGTGCTTAGAAAATCAAAACAAGGTTTCTCTAAATATTTCACTGTGTAAATCACAGCTTCTTCAGCAGAATTACTCAATTAAATCCAAATTATTATTCATGAGCAATTGAATAGAGTCCCAGTGACTGAATGGTATACGAGGTTGCCTTATAACCGGAAGGTCCTGGGTTCGAACCCCAGCGGGGTGGGTGCGTATCGCCGATGATTCCCAAACTAGTGAGATGAAACAGCTGTCCAGTACTCCAGTACTGGTTCTCTAACTGATGTCAATCCATGATCAACTCGTAAAAATATCGTTATAATTCAATCTAACTCTGTGCTCAAATTATTCTAGGAAATTTGTCATATCTATGATCGGTTGATGAGGCTGAAATCAATCAGCCCTCACCACATATACACATTTGTCAAATGACAGTTGGTCAACGAATAAACACCAACTTTAGTAATCGTTAAATGTGGCTATCAAATTATAACGGTCATTAGGATTTACTTCATAAATACATTGACAAGTAGAAAATAAAACGACCATAAAACATATCTGTCACATAGCAACTAGTCACATTGCTATAACCGTTTACAAATAGAGCCCAACAACAGCAGCAACATAGGAAAAAATAAGACAGCTAACTTACGCACACACACACACACACACACGCACACACACACACCCAAGACATCAACGAATCCTTCAAAAAATATTGAACAATAAACTTACTTTTAAGCCAGTTTTAATTCTTACCCTTCCTTTTCAATAAATCTTTTCTTAATTTCTTAGTTGACTAGTAGAATAAATTCCATTGTTGAATGTGTGTTCACTTCTTAGGAGGATTTATGTTTCTGTATGAATATGTGCCTTTCTTTGTGTGTGTGTGTGTGTGTGTGCGTACGTTGGGGTGTGTATCTACGGGTTTCTGAGTACACCGTGTGTCATTGAAACGGTTATGAAAACAAAAAAAGAATATTTCTATGAGCTGATTAAATAATCAGTTTAGAAGAGTGATTCAAATGATTAGGCAATAATAATAATATCAATATCTATGAATAGATTTCGGTTTCGGAATATGACATAGAGACTTTAATTAACTGAGGATAAATATATGAGAGTATTACTAAGAGAGAGAATAATCATTTGTGATTATAATGAGTTAATGGATAGTTGTTCGCTTCCACATTGTTATTGCTTTTCTTTTCTTTACCCTTTCTCAAATCCTAATAATCTTCTTATAATCTATCCACCTGTCAATTAATCAAAAGGCTTGAAGAAAATCGACTTACAAAAAAGAAGAAATGACAAATGATAACAATTAATTCCATTCATTCGATATAATGATGATTACTGAGTGAGTGAGTGAGTGAGTGAAGAGTATTCACTGACCACACAGTTTTTATGATAATTACTGATATAGATGAATCCTCTAGCCTTTTACAAATGCTTTATGTAGTCGAGTTGCTCTCTGTCTAAAAACTATTAAGACACATGTGTATATTCAGGAGAGACTTCATCACAAATCGATATCAAGTACTGGTTTGTAGGGATTCGATTGATTGGTTACAGAATGTCATCATGAACTGACACATTGGTTAGAGGACCATTGGAAAAAGCAGTTGGGAGTACTGGACGACTGTTTCGTCAGCCCAATTTGCGACTCTTCACTGGTACACCCCACCGGGGTTCGAACTCATGAATTTCTGGTTACAGGGCGAGAGAACCTGTGAACCATTAAGCCACTGAGACCTGCCAATCCAGTGGTCAGTCCATGAATCCCAACTTCTGCCAGTTCGCCACATAGTGCGACCACTAGACAATATCTTCAGCAAGTTTTTATCCTCACGCCCGACCTGCTGCACACTAGAACCCCAGGTAACTATCTACTCGAATAGGGCCAGTCGCTAGTGAGCATCTCGTGAGCCATTCGATCGGGTTTCAGTGGCTTAATGGTCTACGAGCTCGCCTTGTATCCAGAGGGTCCTCGGTGGGTGCGTACTACTGAAGAGTCCCATACTTCGACGAAGAAACAACTGCCCAGTACTCCCTGTTAGTTTTCCAATGGTTCTCTAACCGATGTCAGCTCACAGTGAAATCCTATAACTAAATCGATATCATTTAGAGAACTACCAGAAAACACGGAGAGACAAACAGTTATTTCGTCCTATTTTTAAGGAGAATCCACGACGCCACCGGGAGTCGAATATGAGACATGTAGGTGACGAAGTCATTTAACCTTTAACACATTCTCTGCGCATTACTGAAGAGTCCCAAACCAAAACGAAACGCCTATCAATTGCTGTCTAGTTTTCAACTGTTCTCTAACTGGTTTCAGTTCCAGATGAAACATACACTGAAATAAATTGAATCCTCCAAAAAGTGATAACTTAGAAAGAACCTGTCTATTGCTTTCAACAAGTATTGACTAATCTATGAAAAGTGTTCTACTGAACAATATGCTTTCTAGTTCCAAACAAAAGCCATTTCATGTGCGAAGAATCTTTCATAAATGAAAGCACAAAAACGACACAACTACACAAGATTACTTACTAATTGGTAAGTATCATTCATTCACTAGAAATGTCTGTTATTTCCTAACAGATTTTAGTTGATAATTGAAACTTACTTTAAATTTTATCAAATGAACAAGGAAGGATTCACAAGTTAGTTCTTCTATGACTCTTGAAAAAAATACTAAGTGCTATTAGATGGTCGGAGGTAATCGGCAGGAAGCCTTGGATCCAGGTTTCGTGCTAGTTGTCACTCTTTAGTCAGCAAGGCAAATCTGCAACGTTTGAGGAACTCATCCCTCCAACCATCTAATATCATCATATCAATGTGCACTGTGATGGCGAGCTACCTAGAATGGTGGTCACATTGCAAACGTGACTGATAGAGTCCAGTCTGCACCAAAGAAAGGACTAGACAAATCACATTAGTTACTAGTGTTCAATCAAAGTATACTAACTGGTGTAGTGAAAACAGTTGCCAGTGATAATTTATTCCTATTGAATATGCTCAACTGAACTACCTTATGAGTTCAAAAGAGTTGAAAAATGTAAACTACTGGTTACTGTCTCACGGCACAGTGTTTTTCTTTTGACCAGATTTATTTCTGGTCGTGTGTAAGCACGGATTAATTGTATATAATTAGAATAAGGCAAGTGTTCAGCGCTTGCCGATTCACAAGGACTCTTTAACTTAACATCGATTCACGAAGAAGACGATCATGATGAAATGCAAAAGCCTTATAAACTTTCCAAGTATTATAAAACAGATATATGCCTTTTTTATTCAAATAAAGTTGTAGTTTACAGTCACTCTATTTGACTGTATTACACACTTTAATGAGATATGATTACACTGAAACATGAAAGTTTGTATTACTTCATGACGCTATATACTACTGACTAATTCATGTGAGTAGTTGAATGTCACTCATATAAATCAGTAGTGCTTACTAGTCAAATCGGAGTGATCTGAGCACCAGAAGACAGTGTCGCTTCTTTCACTTCGAGGTCATCAGTGGTCTGCTCACCCTTATTGACTTCATTGAGCTCGAACTATTCCAATTCTGTTTAGCTACTACGGACAACTAGTAAAATTTTCAAGAGTTTGTTTGTAGGATTAAATTTGTTTTTATGAGTTTGACCACGGATTAATATCAATTATAGAACAGTTGAAATCCAGAGAGTACTAGACAGCTGTTTCATCCTAGTTCGGGGCTTATTGACAGTGCACACCCACTGGGGTTCGAACCCAGGACGAGGTTGGCTTGTAACGGGAAGGTCCTGGGTTCGAACCCCAATGGGTGCGCAATGTCGATGATTCTTAAAACTAGGATGAAACAGCTGTCCAGTACTCCAGTACTGGTTTTCCAGTGGTTCTCTAACTGATATCAATTCGTGGTCAAACTCATAAACACTGACATTATGCTAAATAAATGCTCACGATTTGCAGTTTACACAGCTCGAGTTGAAATTTAACCACAATTTCTTTTGAAAACCGAAATTATTTAAATCACAATACACATAAAAATTTGTGATCTGCTTGGTATCATAAATAGCAGTCAAGAAAGAAAGCATGTTTAAATGCATCCAGCTATGTACATATATCACTTCTATCTATCTACTAACCCCTACTGGTTCTTTGAGTTGTACTCAATCACTCATTTCACCCAATCATTAGTATATAGTTTTATACAGTTTTGCTTGATTTCTCGATTACCATCTATGGTATCGAGCAGATCACATACTCTGATGAAGTTTCACCTCAAAATGTGTAAATTTCAAAACTAGACGAGGTTAATTATAACATAGTTGTACCTTATATTTGATCATTTTTATCATTCGCCCCATTATCACTCATAAGCTTTCATTCCCTTCTCACATGATCTTTTCAATATCATTCTCGGACCCCGCCCAGCTTATCGTTTTCCATTCGGGTTTCACTCTTTCCTTCTGCATGTTTTTTGGGCTATAGATTCCTGGTTGGTTCGTTCCCAGTTGCTTATTATCCTCTCTGGTTGACTATCTCATCTTATATATCAGGCGAAGGCAGCCGGTGCTGAAAGTATGTAATGGCCTTTCGTGACTCTAGCGCCAAATACCTCTGAACCATATAGAAACACTAACTACCAAGACACCAGTGCCGTAGACCAAGTCTGTATACGTTATGTTGAGTGCAGCAGATTTTCACAATGATTTGAGGTTGCTGAAGGTCTCTTTTGCACTTTCAGTCCTAGGTGGTTTCGAAGTCTCCATTCATGCCGCTTGTAGTTGAAATACTGCTGTCTAGATAAGTGAAAGAGTTAACCTTCTTCAAATATCTCCACAAATGTTATTATCAATAATTAATTATCAATTAGTGAACACTTATATTTTATGACTATTATTATTTTCGTTTGTAGGTTTCTTCTATCAACCGTGTGCTGCGTAATTTATCCAATGAATCACAAAGACAGCTGTCATCTGCCGCGGCAGCCGCCGCTGTCGCCGCAGCAGCTGTAGCTGCCCAAGCAGCCGCCCATCGGAACTGTGTAAATAATTCGAATTCGGGAATTAGCCTGTCCAATTCAAATCATTGTCTTGCAACACAGAATTATTTATCTAATATGAAGTGTGATTTACACGGTCTAACAAAGTCATTTATGCCATCTGTGTTCAATTTCCCGCCATACAATAGACCAAATAATAATAATAATAGTAATAATAACAACACTAATAATAATAACAATAATGGTAGCAATAATCTATTTTCAATGCCACCTTCAATTCCACCATTTTATCCTCAGCAAAGTTCAAACTTGAACAGACATCCTTCTAGTTGTTTTAATGAACAAAATGTAATTGAATCATGTTCAAATGTACCACAGAAACCACATGCACATTCAAATAATCCACTTTATCATACTCACAGTCAAACGAATCATTCACCGATAATATCAAGTTATTTTCAAACAGGGACTAGTGGTAACAAACCTATATCATCGAATATAAATCCTAATACTAGTAATAATTCACAAGAAACACGTTCAGCTTATGATAAATTTAATAATTTATTTATATCTGCTGCCTCAAGTACCGCACAGGATTCATGGGCACAAGCATGGTATTCGGCTGCTGCCGCGGCATCAGCCAATAGCGTTTATTCTAATTTATACTCATCGTCAAACAGTACAAGTCATAAAAACGAATGCCCACAAGACAGACAATTCTCTCCACCGTTGAACTATTTAAATCAGTGCAGATTTTCAGGGATTTACCAGAATCTTGAAAATGCTGTCATCAATTCAGTTAGTGATAATAACAATGCCATTAATAATAACAATTTTGATATCAGGTGTTCAGAAGGTATGGAGACAAGCGTAGAGGATTAGAGGAGCAGAGTAGAAATCGATCATCACCTCATTGTTCAGAATCACAGCAACTACACCAGGAAAAATTGCCTATTTTACCCCAACAATCAGCAAACAATCCAATCTCAACATATAGCAGCAATAATACTGGTAATATCACTAGTAATTCGCCTATTCATCAATCTATTTTACCCTGTCAGTATGATACAAAGATGGACTCCAACTGGTCATCATTAGGCCGTCAACATCCTCATCCACATCACCATGTACACCAGTCACAACCGTCTGAAAATAATCAAAGACTTCACGATAGTCTATTGAAATTTGAGACAGAAGAATTCAAACAATTAGTATCTTCGATAGATGAGAAAGATAAGCTGGATAGACAAAGGAGGAAATTCCCAATTAATTCATTGTTCACTTATGAAAATTTAAGTAGTATGCGAGAACAGGCTGAAAATTTTATTCAGCTACGTAATGATGGTGATACAGTTAACACAAATTTACATCATTATTTAATTAGTAGAGATATGCATAGGATGGATACACATGGATTTACACATATACACGAAGAAGATCAGCGAATGCACGAATTAGGCGTAAGTGGTTATGATGACGAAGAAGAGGATGGGATGATGAGGATGACGGCGGTGAGGATGAAACCAGTTGTAATACAACTACAGTCAGTTCAGTCATGAATCTCCGTGTAATAATGAAAGTCGAATAAATCAGTCAGTTTCATCCGCATCTATGAAAAATGTCAACATGAACTTAAAAATAAATTTATACTCAAATGAAACACCGACTATAAAAGAAGAGAAAGGAAGTAGTGGCACAAGCTTTTTGTGTAAAAATTCCATGGGTGAAAATCGTACTTCGTATGGAGAGAGTCATATAGAGGCAATCATTTACTTGCAGCAAGTAAGTTTATAAATAATAGTTATGCTTTCAAGAAAAAGAGATTTTATTTGTACTGAGATTTCACTGTTAGATTGGTACCCATTGCACGGTAGAAGACGAAAGACTTAGTTAAGGAATGTACATTTGGAATTTGGTATCTCTATATAGCCAAATGGTGTACACATTGACTTCAACGCAATACCATTTGCACAGATCTTTCGTTCTGTACTACTTCTGCTCTTCCTTCTTAATGTGTTTCTTTGTGTTCTTTTCACGTCTCCCATGTATCTTCGAAACGCCTATCATTTGCTTTCTCTGATATGCTACTTGATGTTTTTATTTCGATGAACGCCCCTTTATGTATACTACTGATAAATCTTATCAGTAGCATACGACACACCATATTTCTTTATGCTACTTAATTATACCATATTATTATTCCCTGGGGTTCTAGAATGAGAATAGGGCTGCAACAGCACATCTCTATTTCATCCGATTCATGCTAATGACTGCTCATAAGCTCTCATCCCCTCCTTACATGATCTCCTCCAGATGATCCTCAGGACTAGAGTCCGACTCATCGTTTCCCATTCAAGTTATACTTGAGGGTCTGGGGTATGATATCATTCAACGACGTCTACGGTGCGTCTCATACATCTCCATTTCCTTCGACACATTTGTTAGGTTATAGATTCTGGACTGGTTTGTTACCAGAGTTCATTGTTGCGTACCCTTTTTGGTTGGTTATCTGATATTAATCATCGACCCAGAGAAGGCGGCTGTTCATGAAAGTTTGCAGTTACTTGTTGGAAATGTTTTTGATGACTCGTGTAGTAAATATCTGAACCCTAAATGAAAGCACTGACTGACTTGACATCAGCATTATAAACTCAAATCTTGTTTTTTATGCTGAATGCAGCAGATTTCTAGTAATGTAGGTCTGTATTATTTTTCAAATCTTAGTCAGCTTTGAAGTACTCACTTGTGCCTCCTGTATTTGAAATGATGCTACCTAGGTAAGTGAAAGAGGCAACGTCCTTCATATTTCTCCCGTTAACAATGATGATAACATAGAACTTAATGTTAACGTTTAGATCAGCTCATCAGGCAAAGTTTTTCAAATTTATTATTAATATATTCCTTAATCTTCCTAGTGGAACAAAGGGCCTCAAGCTAGAGGTTTGAAGTTTCTGTAGCAGCAGGGAATTTTTATTTTCAAGACATGGGGTTGATGGCCTCATGCCCAACCTTCCCTCTTTACCAGTATTACTACTGGCACAGCAAGGTAAAGGAGTGCGGCGGCCGGGGACTGGACCCCGTACTACATGACTAGTTGGCAACCATTCTACCGCTCTGTCACCGACGTGTTTAGGTTTGCAAATACTTTCCAAATATTCAGTACAATCATGTGTTGCAAATGAAGGTTAATCGAATAAGGAACAGTAGATAAATAAGACATATACCGCATAACCAGGCGTGAAACGAAAGGTGTTAAGCAGCTTATTGCCCTCATCAAGATACCGTCCTTATCGAAGTTAAACAGTGTTGTCTTTTGTAGACGCTCAGATAGTAGTATTAGCTAAATTGTTTTACTGAATTGAAGAGCTATGTATTTCCCACATTCCACTGAAAAGTAATTGGTAACAAATTGGTTTTTTTTTATAAAAGTATAGTAGTCTTATATTTATATGACAGAGGATAGCATTGGAAAGAATAAATATACACCAAGAACTGACACGTGTGAAGTAAATCTGCGTCTTCACTCATTAATTGTATATTCAAAGATATCTTGAATAGTGAGCATGACACAAAATAAAATTTTCAAGAGATGATTTGTAAGGATTAGATTTGTTTTCCGAGTTCGACTACAGATTGATACTAGTTATAGAACCACTGAAAACCAGCATTGAAGCAGTGGACAGCTATTTCATCCGAGTTTTTTAGCAATCATCGGCAGTATGCACCCACTGGGTTTCGAAGCCAGGACCTTTCGGTTACAAAGTAAGACCGCATGCCATTCAGCCACTGGGAGCCGATTCAATGGCCATGAATATATATATATATATATTATATAATATATATATATACGAATATAAAAGAAAAGACGTTCAGCGAATACTTACTCCTCCCGGCGATATCATTCTCAACCTGTACAGTCGCATATATATATAGTTAATTCTCTTAGCAACAAAAAGAGTATTTCAAAGATTTTTCATCAAAGTTGTAAATTTTAGTCAACAAACTACGTAATGTAGAAAGCGTCAATAGGGTAGAAACTAAAATTAATTTAATAGAATTGTAAGTTTCAGATAACAAATTGCGTTAATGCGTTAGAAACCAAAGTAAGATTAAACAAGTAAGTTGGGTGACTTATTCTAATTGACGGGGTTCAGTTGAGCTCAGCTAAAACTGAAGTGGAACAAAAGTCAAGTCAACAACAATGGTAATAAGAGGTAGACATTTAATAATGGTGGGACAAAGTATTATACAATTAAGAAACAAACAAGCGAAAGAAAGACGAAATAAAATCACGTGTTTGGTGTTAAGATAGGTCAGGTCCATTGTAGATTTAGTGACTGAACAAATTTCTTTTGTTTGCAGAGTTCAGGTTTTAATATGTGAATCGCCATTACTTCTGCAGTTTGAAGAAGTTTGCTTCGTAGCAAGATTCTCGTGTTTTCTGTAGATGGCTTTGAAGTTGGTGTGTGGGTTTGCTTCATATTCCGATTCGATCTGGTGTTCCAGAATAGAGCTTCGTGGAGACCTATTTTCTCCTTTATGAAACCATGACAGTGGGTAAGTGTTCGATGATACGTTTGGATAGGAGACGCTGGGTACGGCTGACATACCTACCTTCGCATGAACTGGTGAATTGGTAGATACATATTAATGAGGCCAACAGTGGTACCGTATCCTTCACACTCATGCTAATCACTGGTTTCATAAAGAAGGTTAGTCGGAATTCAGTCGTGAAGAAGGCTTTCTTCAGTGAGCGGGACAGGCAGCCTCTTAGTATTTCTGCTGATGAATATCCATTGAGTTGTAGCTTCAGGTAAAGGCGCTTTTAGGGGAGCGGAGAGTGTGGACGGTTTTGGTGGTTTAGGTTTCATAGATTTTGTGATGAAACCTTCCGGGTAGCCGTTTCCTAAGAGGATTCACTTCAGGGTGTTTAACTCCTTTTCTATAGTATCAGGGCTGCGAATGCCATGGGTTCTGTGGCTCTGTGAAAGGATAAGGTTTCGTTTTGTGCATAGGGGCACCAAACTATGAAAGTTAGTAAGTTGTCCGTTCCACGTTGTCTTTCCGTAGATGGATCTATTTTGTGTTCCATCTTATCCACGTCTTGTTAACTAGACGTCGGATTCCTTCTCTAGTGTGAACTGAATTGCTGGATGGCAGCTATTGAAGAAGTCCAAGATGTTAACCAAATTCTCCTCCACGTATTTCTTGCAGAATCCAAGTTTGTCAGTCATCTTCTTTAGATGTGTTTTCTAGTTTTGAAATGACAAAGTGTGCGAGCAACGGGCCAAGTGATGATCTCATAGCCATACCATCTTTTTGTCGATAAACTTCGTTACTGAAAGAGAACTGAACGTTTAGGGTGCATTTCAATAGGAGTTCCTTCAAATATTCTACGGATATACCAATGTTCATCTCCTTTGAACCAATATTTTCACATATACATCATACTGTTTCGTTTAGTGGAACATTTGTGAACAGTAATACCACACAAATGTACATTCTAGTTGATGACTTTGTTGAAATGAAAATTTTTTCCATTTCAAGGATCTTTTTAATTTCTCCTATTATCTAGTGTCTATACTTTGTGATTTAAGGAAAAATCAAGTCAGTATAACCTGTTTGTTTTTCTTTCCGCCTGATTTTAGGAGAAACACCTTCAATATTTTTTACAAGAGAATTCAATGATAATTTAAGTAGACGATTGAATCAAAAGGAACTAGAACGACAACATGAACAAAATGAAGAACACGGAGTCGGAGGAGAAGAAGAAGACGAGGATGAAAGACAACATAGGCAGAATTATTTGACTAAATTGAGTCAAATAAGTCAACTTCCAGGTAGGAATAACAACAGTAAACCGCCAACAATACCACAATCAGCAACAACAACAACAACGTCGACAGTACTAGAGAATGTGAATATGTTTACACAGTTCAGTAATAATAACAATACAAGTAATAATAATAATAATAATCATAGTAATGATAGTAACCATAGTGATAATGAAATAGTTCATGCTTATAATAATAATAATCATAATACTAATAGTTCAATGTTAGCTCAGTTAAGTACACACTTATATGAAGAGTTAAATGAACCACCGGAAACATTTATTGAATCACTGCAATCAAATTGTGTACAACAGCTGAGAGAAACAATTAAAAAGAGAACAATGGCGGAATTAGATGAGAATATGTCTGGGTTGACAAATAAAATACTGAATACTAATACCAATAATAGTAGTATTACTAATAGTGCTATTAACATGCAATCGTTATCGTCAATTAGTCCTAAATCGGAAATAACTGAAAGACCAAATTCTGTAATGAGTGAAACTAGTTCATCACAGATTGATTCAACTGATGAAAGACAGCAGGGTAACAATAAACAGAAACATCACCAACACCACCACCACCAACAACAACAACATCCTCATCCTCATCAACAGCACCAACAACAACGTAGTCGAACTTCATTTTCTAATCTTCAACTGGAAGAACTTGAAAAAGGTGAGTAGTAAAAATTGGTTTTATTCATTTGTGTTCTGAACGGGAAATAGGGCTTCAAGCGTTAGTTTGCAGGCTGAGGTAACTAGCCTCACACCCAACCTTCTCTCTTTACCGTGAATACTACCAACTAGGAGAGATTTCAGAGTTCGCTTGTGGGGGATCAATCCCCAGACTAGGTGAGTGGTTGGTGAGGATTCTAACACTGAATAACAAAGATACAGAGGTATATACTAGAAAAATGAATAATAACTATATGATATGATGTGATATGTGTGACTGCAGAAACACACACACAGGGAAGAGTAATCATGCTTTGCACATAAGAGTGGCTTGAGAGATAAGTGGACTGTGAAACCTCGATGAACTCAAGGCGACAGACTACCAACTTTGTCTTTAGCCAAACATGTAACTGACACAGTTCACTAGAGTGATACCAAAACGTCTTTCACGATTCTCTATAAAAGTAATCAGCAGCGCTTAGTGACTGTGTACATGGACACTAGTACAATCAACTTTATAACGCGTCTTAATGATGTGGTTCGAGACAGATGATGTTAGAAATCAGTTTCCAGGATCATCTGAGTTGAGTGATTTGATTTATTTCTGTAGCCACTGACGAATGTGCTCTATAGCCTTAATCTGAAGAGACTGATGGGTATAATTATATTTCAGTAGTTTACACACACTGATAAGTTTTGTTATTGGTAATATTTCGAGCAAAATTACTGCCCGTGTCCACATCACTGTTGGAATTGTTTGTTAACAAAAGTAGACCAATATTTGTAAGTCTAAGGTCAAATTATGATCACAGCTCTTACAGTTTTGTTTATTGTACTTTGATGACTGTTTCATGACTAATATGATACGACAGAGTTTTTTAAAAACAAGAGATGTCCTTTTTATATATAAAACTGTTATGTTAATTGGTGGATGGTGATTGACTAGCAGTGGAATCCAGGATGTGCATTTCGTCCTTTCTGGGATTAGTTTGCCAGCTGGATGTACCTGCGTTCCCCAGTGAGTGATGATGTTCCCACTGGGACTCGAACCCAGTGCCCATAGTTTCAAACTCCAAAGCGTAATCCACTAGACCCCTTGTGTAATGAGTCATATTCATTATTTAATTCAATTTTAGATTTTCCCGTCGATTGATTGGACTGAAGTGCTCGGTCTCGTGGCCCAAATGGTCTAGTGGATAGCACTTTGTCGTTTGATACTATGACAATGGATTCGAGCCTCGGTGGGAACATCCTCACTCACTGCAGAATGGAGGCACATCCAACTGACAAGTCCCAAATAGGACGAAGTGAGCATCATGGATTCCACTGCTAGTCACCATTCGCAAATTAACCTCTAATTACATGCCCAGACATCATCGAAGCATCTGCACAAGAAACCGACATGTCAACCTGAGACCGAGCACTCTGTTATGTTCATTTCGATTAATTGTGGATAGACATATAATGTCATGTAAGAAACTAGCGAATACTATATTGTCAGACCCCGAGCATCCTCTCTATACTCAGCTGTCTCCTTGCATTTCATCTGGTAGAACTAGAAGCAGCCATAGGAGACTATATGCTATGACTATCAAGTACAAAAACTCCACAATACCATATCTGGCACAGCTGTTATGTGATGAGAAATCCGTTAGGTATGACACGATCAACTTACTGCGGCACTCTAACAAATAGTCCCATTAGTTTTGCTTTCCTTTCTTCCTTATTATTAGACTGTTGTTCACATCTTCTATAACACACTAATTTTATATTTCATATCCTGTGGTGCATTGTTTAAAGTGTAAACGCAACGCTGTTCTTTTTATTTTTTTTTGGTGTTGCTTTTTGATTTTAAAATCTTATAAAATTTATGCGGTAATTAGATGCAATATATTGTAATGCACGCTGGAAATTCCATACCTGTACCACAAATACTGTATGGAATAAAGCTGTTATTATTATTAAAAATTTCCATGAAGAAGTTCGGACCAGTTTGCCGATTGAAACGTTGGAATTACGTATTTCCATTTCGCTGAGATTTTAAAAGTATAATTTTTACAAAATATATGATAGTTACAAAGGGAGGGGAAAACTGTTTGTAAAACTTAATATATATTATGTTGTCGTCCAATACGAATAAAGCGGCTGTACAAATCGATGCACACCTTGATGTCCAGTATCGACGAGATGAGCTAATATTGAGTCACGTTATAGCTTTATTCAGACCTTTGGCAAACCGAGATGGGAGGTGTTCAGAAATTCAACGATGAACTTGCTTGATAATATGCCCAATGTAACTGGCTCCACATGGGTAGTTAAACTGGTAAATACACATGGAAAAGGTGAGACAGGATAGTTTGTCTTTATTTCTTGAACTAAGTATTCGTCGGCTAGTAAAAATACAGCATAACTTGGCTGAGTTAAAAGTCCTTCTCCAAAATTATGAAAAAACCTCACTATTAACATCTCCCATCAACTACAGTCTTAGGAATACTGAATTTCTAGGGAATTGTGGAAATCGTCGGTTATTTACATGCTATGTCCATGTGTTTATTCGAAAATATTGTCAGATATCTTTTTCTACTCAGTAGGTGACGAACTTAACAGAGTTATTCGTTCAGTGTTTCATTTGAACAAAATACCTCCAGTGCGGTGAAGTAAACATCTGATCAGTGTTATGTTTGTATTATAGATGGGCGAAATTCAGAAAGTGAGTATACTGTCCAGTTAAACTAGGTTTCCAATGCAATCGTTCACATATTGTTCCGTCCACTCGTTTAGTCTCCAAGACATTCAAAAACGAGATAGAGTCATCATGTTCTTCTTCACTGGCAAAACTTTACAGAGGATAAAAATTCCACTTGAATAGACGCTAATACTTGACAAGTTTTCCATAAAAAAAGAAACCAGTTCTCTTTAAGAGTGTAATAGGCACAGTGGTTAGGACTCTCGCCGACCATGCACATGGTCCGGGGTTCGAGCCCGCACCGACGCACACCTGATATCTATGGTTGGCCTGCAAAATTTGGGCTACCGATATCCATGCTGAAAATCCCATACTTGTACCGAAAATACAGTGTGGAATCAAGCTGTAAATCCAAAAAAAAGATAAACGATATTAATAAATGATGATGAGTCACAGAGATTACTGTCATTCGTGGACCAACTGAAGAGGACGGCAGAAGATAAAACAATATGGAGATGTGTTTTTGAAGTCCTCTGTTCCGTTAGGAACGCAAGGGAATCATGATAATGAGGAATCGCCTTAGCTAACCAAATATTCTCCAAGTATTGGTTTTGTAGGGATTTTGTTTGATTGCATCGAGGATTTCATCATGAGCTGATATCAGTTAGGGAACCACTGGAAAACCTGGGAGTACTGAACAGCTGTTTCGTCCTAGCCTGGGACTCTTCACTGGTACGCGCCCACTGGAGTTCGAACTCAGGACCTTCTGGTTACAAGGCGAGCTCGTAGACCATTGAACGTGCTGATAAAGAGTCGCAAACTAGGACGAAACAGATGTCCAGTACTCCTACATTTTCCAGTGGTTCTCTAACTGATGCCAGCTCATGATGAAATCCTCAGTGCAATCAAACAAAATAATCCACTGGTATATATTTAGAAGTTATTATATTATGTTTTTCTATATTTCTCTAATATCCCATATCTACATTATTATTGTCATCATCATGTGTCTTTTCTATTTTCAGAATTTGAACATACCCATTATCCTGATGTATTTTCACGGGAAAAATTATCAAGTCGTATACTCCTACCAGAACCACGTATACAAGTATGGTTTTCTAATCGACGTGCAAAATGGAGACGTGAAGAAAAATTGCGAATTAAACAACTGACTTATAGAAATCAACAGAAATCACTTCATCAAAATAACAATAATAATAATAATCATAATAACAGAAGTAATAGTACTACTACTAATAATAGTTGTAACAGTGATAATAGTAGTATAACACTGGCATCCTTTATCTCACCGACAACAAGAATACAATTAAACCCAACATGTACTCAACCTACTGACAGTGACATGAAAATGAATCAAATGAAGATAAAAGATAATGGTAACAACAATATTGGAACAATAGAAATGAACAGATCAAGCTGTTTAACTTATCCTTTAGGTCATTCAAAGAATCTCAACACTAATGAACTACACTCAACCACATGTAATAATAGTAATACTAATAATGATATAATGAACAGGAATGCCGACTTATTAAGACCATTAGATGAGCATAGAATTCATTCGAGTAAAATCAATATGAAAGAAAATAAATCCAATGAAGTTATCTCAATGGTTACAAGATATTCTAGAGATGATCTGTTGATGAATAAAGGTTACGGAGAGGAGGATAACAGTCATAGCCAACAGCTCCATCAACATCATCATCATCATCATCATGACCACCAAAATCATTTGTATCACAATCATCATAATTTAAATGAGAAACACTGGTCTTCCTTACATCGTTTACAGCAGCAACAACAACAACACCAACATCAACATCAACACCAGCATCAGCAACATCCGCCACCACAGCAACACTTACAGTTGTAAACAAATTAGTTTAAACAAACAAAAATATAATAATTGAACAATGAACAATACATACATATTTAATTCAATATATATACAACATATATGAAAAACATGTGCGAGAATTTCATTTTCAAAGTCAAAGTTTAACAAGAAAATAATTGAGTAAATAATGAAATTATTATGTGGGAAAGTTTTTAAATAATGACTAATACAATCTGTCTATCTATCAATTCAATGTTCAATTTAATTTGTTGTACAGTGACTTTGAAATATTTGCAAATAAATATCTTTAATTTATTGAATTGTGTATATATTAAACTATCATGTTGTATATATATAATACGGATGGACTTAGTCAAAGTAGTAGTTAGACCTTGTCAACACCATCCATGCCAAAGATTATCAGTGTGCCATAATGATTTTTATGGTAAATGAATATGTTTAATGTCATATCAACGGTGACTATTATTATTATTTCCTTGGGTACCGAGTAGAACTTTGGGCTTCAATGGCACATCACCATTCCATTGTGTTCTCTACAGTCCTCTTCACCTGGCTCCACGACTGCCTCTATAGGCTATCATCTCCTACATAACACTATAGGATGCCCAACTCATAAGTTCCCATTCGGGTTTGAGACATCACTCAACGGTCTCTTCAGCATGTATTCGATCCATCTACATCCCCTTCTATATATCTGTTGGTAGGTAGGTAGGTAGGTTGGTAGTTCGTTCGTTGCCATAATTCATCGTTTCTGGCTGTCTGATCTTCAGTATCGAGACAGTAAAGGCGGCTGTTGGTGGAAGTCTGCAGCGGTCTGCTGGGAATGGTTTCGGCGACATGTGCTCCAAGTCTCTGAACTATGTAGAAGCATTAACTTGACATAAGCATTCTTTGTACTGAGTGAAGAAGATTTCCGTATTCGATTTTAGATTATTGAAGGCCGTAAATTGGGTTCACAACGGCATTTATTTTATTTAGGACACAAACGCGATACAATATGGGCAAAATCAAATGTACCACAGTGCGAAAGATGAGTTTTTCATTGGCTTGCTGTTTTATAATTCATGGGAGGATTGGGTTTCTGTTTAGAGGCAAAGATTGAAGTAGATACTTACCTTTGAAATTAATCTTGACGCATAAGCTGGCAAAACAACATCAGTTGTGTTCTTTAGGTTTCTGTTAATTGGAACTGGTTCACACGCGATTCTTTCCCTTTGGGCTATTGGCTCCATATACATTACAGATCTACAATCAGGATTTTCCAACTCCTTTAGGTGTAAGCCTATGCTTATCAGTCCAGTGATGTGCATAGTTAGTTCACTTGCACGCTCTAGTACATCGAATGCCTTGGAAGAGAATATGAAAGCATTTCGAAGAAATGATAAGAGTCCAACCACCCTTGACCCTGCCAAGTCATACATAGTAGGTAGGAACACGAACTAGTTACTTCTATATTAATTTCTTATTACATATATCACACAATGAAACAGTATTATTTACTGGATGACGTTCCAAACACAACTGATTGTTCGTTATCATAGTAATTATAGCTACACAACTTCGAAACATTCGTTTTATAGTTTCCTTTATTCTTCCTATTCGTTGTAAGGGTAGTAGAATTTTCCAGATGTCATGGACAAGTGTTAAATCATTTCCACTACACGTATTTTCTGCTGAGTGGACAAATAAAGCTTCCACTATCAATCTCACCCTTGACCCTATTATATTAGATTTTAAGACTGTCATCTTCCACCATCCCATTGTATGGCTGTGCGTAATTGCATGTAGTGAGTGCTATAGCTGACCTATTCTCCAGATTTCTTTTCTTATTAGGTCAAATAATCTAATTTTGCTAGGTTTACATGCTCCGCTAGTCTGACTAACCCTCTTCTATCATTGCAGGGTAGTAGATAAATTAAATAGTTTCGTTTTATTGGCTCCACAGGATCCTTTAACCGACAATTTATTTAGTTTTAAGGGGATCCGTGGGCTTGAATACCACTTCTGTTTCTGCTTGCACTGTTAGGAATTCTACGTAAGGTTTCCGAGGCTCCTTCTTTGTATAGAAGTACTACCGATGATTGAAACTCTTTATGGCTGGTGATGTCATCATTCTGTGAATGTTTGTCATCACTATTATCGTTATCAATATGCCTACTATTAATGTTATGAATTTTGTTTTCACATTTTTCTACATAATTCCTGATCAACTTATCAGGGTAATTATTAAGTTTTAAAGTACTTATATTCTGCTTGAGCAATAAGAAAATAAAGACTGGAATTGTTAAACTGTATGCATAATGTGAAACAAACGGCCTAAAGTAATTTAGACGATCGAATAATCTGTCTATACAACTTATTCTATTTAGCGTAGTACTATCTGTCATCTCTGTTGGTTGCTTATAACTTCCTACAGCGTTTGGGTATTTTGGGTTTTTATGAGTTTTCGATTGGTTAGTTGTTCAGTTCACGTTTCATCATGAGGAGATTCACCAGAGCACCGGACATCTGTTTCAGAATATTGCGCAACAACAATACCATGAACCAAACTCAATATTTTTACGGTGAATTCAATCGATGATGGAGAATACTCCAAGAAAAAGCAGTAATTTTTGTTGTTACATCGGAAACGCAGACAATAGATTATTGTAAGTGAAGTAAAATTATAAAACATGCCCCTGGGATATCTATCTAAGTGGTGCAGTTCAGTAAGTTATATTTGTGCAAGTGGAACAAGCAGAATGACAGAAAAGTTCTACTAATCATACCTCCATCTCCTTCGATAAATTCTTTTTACCCAGTAAAGTAGAGAATATGTTATCAATTGATTTTTCTGTGAGTATTACAGTAGTATAGTTAGACCGTTTGTATTGCAAACCGGGCAGTTACTGACTACCTCGAAGATCATTATTGGTAAAAGTAGTAATGAAAACCAAATTTTAAAGAAACCAAAATCCAAAAACATTTCTAACTATCGGTAACTAATCATCGTACACCTGCAATGACTCATTGGCAACTGGAGCAGAACAGGCTGGCCTCAGGAAATTCTATCTGATAACCAGGTCTCTATCAGGGAAGAGATCAACCCAGATGATGAAACCTATAAGAGAAGGTTAAGGAAATCAAATCACCAAGGAGGAGAGACAAATAAAACAATGGGCTGATCACTTCTAAGAACTCTTTAATCGACCATCACCTCCAACTCGCCCAGAAATATCACCACCGGATAAAGAACAGCCCATGGACATCAATCCTCCAACAAAAACAGAAGTCTTGAATGTGATCAAGCTACTGAAGTCCAAGAATGCAGCAGAACCGGATGCAACTCTTCCTGAAACAATGAAGAAGGCTCTGCAGCAGATGTGCTGACGCCATTATTGCAAAAGGTTTAGAAGGAAGGAAAGGTGCCTACTAATATGAAGAAATGAAACATCATCAGACTACCGAAGAAGGGCGACTTACGCCTGCCTGTGCAAGAAATGGCATGGAATAATGCTCTTGTGTACGCGTCATCCTGCAGAGAATAAAAAATTCACTGGATGCAGTACTCCGCCAACTCAATGGAGGAGATGAAGGCCTACGGGCAGTCGTGGGGCCAGACAAAGAGCACTGGCTAAAATGGAGATATGTCGTCGAGGTCCTGTGTTCCACTTATAACTCAAAGGAATAATAATAAATAATGATATCCAAGTGACTCACTCCTAAGAAGTAATGCCTCAAAAGGATTTTATTCAGTAAAGTCGAGTGATTTCCAGAACTGCTATCAAATCAGTGATGAAGTATAAGAACATGATGTTTAAGGGAGTCTTAATCCCATCATTTACTAATTTAATAAAGGAGAAAGAAATAATCTAAGCCAAAGGGATTTATTTTTGAATTACAAGAAATAGTAGATATAAGTAATTTTTGTGAAGGCAAAATAGCGACAACTGACTTCTAATACTTATCCCCTTGAGTTTGAAGTGGAACAGACAGTTTTAGCAGAGCATCGCTAATTCATTCTGCGCTTTGAATTCACGGTCTCAATGGTCTCCTCCGCGTGTTTCATTTCGTTCGATATATTTTGTCACGCTGTAGATTCGTTGCCAGATTTCCTTGTTAACTGAACTAATTCCCTCAATCCTCTTGGAAACCCAACTCGTCGTTTCCCAGTCAGATTCTACTCGAGGGCCTTTTTGTATATCTGTTGTGCGATAAGTTCTTAGCTGGTTCGTCGCCAGAGTTCCTCATCCTTTCTGATTAGCTATCTGATCTTTACTGTTCAGTGAAGGCAGAATAAATCATAAATTTACAATTTACTGTATGGACATGGTGGAAAAATTACCTATAGTTTCCCGATAGGTAATTTCAAGCCTAAAGAACCCCAGAATTCCAACTCGATTTTATCTAGTATTTCTATAATATCGTTTCAAAGGACAATGAATGGAAATTATAGATACCACAGTGAAGTGAGGATATTTTGCTTGAGGAATATTAAAACTGAAAGAAAGCTGATGATAGGTATCAACCAACCTACACATGACTTTTGAAATAGTTACAGTATGAAATTAAACGGATACACCCATCCTACATTTGAATTCATTTTGGTGGATCGTGACTAGCATTGGAATTAGGGATGCGCATTTCTTCCTGTTTTGGACTCGTCATCTGAATGTACCTTTACTCCAAGTGAGATTCAAACAGAGTACCACATAGGATGAAAAGTGCATCCGGGATTCCACCGCCAGTCCCCATTCACCCAAATTACTTCAAGTTAATCTTCAGATATCGTCAAACCGTCTGAACTAGGAGCTGACATGTCAACAGGAAAATCAAACACGATGTCAGGTTTATCTTCTGGAATTAATTTCAGTAGTTTGTAAGCCAACTAAGACCAAACGTTTAGCGTAACTCAAATAGTGTCCTACACAAAGTGTGGAAGATCTTTAGTAGGTAGGTTGAGATCAGAACATCACTTTTTTTCAGTAATTCTTCTTCAGGTGTCGATGTCAACACAGCTTTCAGGGTTATATACCGAATTCCGAAGTCATCACACACAGTTCACTTAGGTCTCCTACACATAGCTGAAGCTGTTGCAATAAGATCGACTAAACCGGAACTTTGCATCCAAAAAGAACACGTCCAAACGCTGTTCCTACCGTGGCCAAACTTGGATTATTGATTATTCTTCTCACCAAAAATGCTTCTTCACCTTAACCCTCTTGGTGTTTTTTCCTTTGCTAATTATTACAATTATTATTATTCGTCATAACTTATGCCCTTCATGCAAACATTCCCTCAATACTATCGAATTTTTCATTTATACTATCCGGACTCATTATTAGTGATATTACCTCTTTTCTCAATATATGCATCCACATGTTTCATTTCACATATTTGTTATTTCATTATGAACTTCTCATTGCAGTCTTAATATCTCCTGTTTAATAAATATCACTTTGTACTAGCCACTCACTCACCTGACACCTTGTATAACCTTGAACTGACTTACTTGTTAATTTTTCCTACCCCACATTCTACGAACCTATTATGACTAATCACCACCATTGTCTCCCATTTCACCGAAATATTTTGTAATCAATTTCAGCCTACCACGACATTTTCCACACGAACACTATTTATTTTGACACCCTATAACTACTAATCTATTATTCTACGTTAAAAAACGTGTCCGCCTTATGCGTAACTGGCCATTATTGTAGCGACAATAAATATTACACATTTTATATTTAAGTGTTGGTTTGTAGGGATTTGATTGATTGGTTACAGGATTTCATCATGAACTGACATCAGTTAGAGAACCATTGGAAAACCTGGGAGTACTGGACAGCTGTTTCGTCCTAGTTTGGGACTCTTCATCAGTACGCACCCACCGGGATTCGAACCCAGGACCTTCCGGTTACAAGGCGAGCTCGTAGACCATTGAGCCACTGGGACCCGATCCAATGGTCCTTGAATTCTAACTTCTGCCAATTCACGACATAGCGCGACCGCTAGCCAATGTCTTCGGCGAGTATTTGTCCTCACACCCGACCAGCTGCACCCTACTGGTCACGACTTCCCACTGGAACCCAGTGGCTTAGTGGTATACGAGCTCGCCTTGTAACCGGAGGGTCCTGGGTTCGAATCCCGGTGGGTGCGTACTGCTGAAGAGTCCCAAACTAGGACGAAACAGCTGTCCAGTACTCCCAGGTTTTTCAATGGTTCTCTAACTAATGTCAGTTCATGATGAAATCCTGAAACCAATCAAATCCCTACAAACCAACACTTAAATACCAACGAGATGCTCACTGGCGACTGGCCCTATTCAGGTAGGTAGTTACCTGGGTTCTGGTGGGAAGTCGTGACCAGTAGGGTGCAGCGGGTCGGGTGTGAGGACAAATACTCGCCGAAGACATTGACATATTTTATAATTGTAAGAACCTGAAGAGGAGAACCTATTGAAAAGAATATTCTTCGTTGAGATTGAATGATGTGGGAATATTTCACACTATTAAATCACTTTTCTTGACTCTTCGTCACATTTGATGAACATCATGTAAATGAGTACACATCAACCGTAAAATCTTACAAAATCCCTTTGTGAGATTAGTTTCCTTGATAAATAATCGTTTTCACAAAGACTGAACTGTTTCAATAACTGTGTAACGACAGAAGACAAGGACCAGGCTACAGATCGTTTATTGAGGAAATCAAGAGATATTTATATATTTTTATGCATATTATTAACAGAGAAACAGCGTCTTCTGACTGGTCGTTTTCTTACTGGAAATAATTCTGTCATCTTCTTGTGGCCGTTTCTTTGAAGGTCAGACCATATATCTGCTAATCATATCCGCCCACGCAAAGTCTGCTGTTATTGGTTGTTGAGTTAGTCTTTGTTCTTGTGTTTTTCTTCTCATGACCAAGATTTGCGACGTAAGCATTGCCGTGAATTGCTGTCTACCAATTTTGGCTAGCAGACAGCTCTCACTACACCTGTATTGTTTATTTTCATTCCTTTTGCCTTCTCAGTGGAGTATAGGGCTTCAAATTTGATCATTGAAGTCCCAGTGGCAGTGGGGCTTTTACAGGGTGGGGTTACCGGCCTAACACCCAAGCTTCCCTCTTTGTTGGCTTACAACCGGCTGTGGGATGGAAGATCAACTTGCTGTGCGGGAATCGGAACACGTGCATGGTTGGCGAGCACTCTACTGCTGAAACACCGACGTACACACCATGTCACTTTGCATTCTACTTATATTTCACTTCTTAAAATGCTATCCTACAACGTCAAGATAGACCAGTAAACTATTAGATGAAATGTAGCTTCGAGTTTTATCAAGGATTGATATTAGTTAGATAACCATCGGTCAACCCAGTGCAGTCATGAGTGACTACTGATGATGGATTCCTGAACTAGGAAGAAACACTTGTCCAGTACTCTCTGATGCTTTTCAATGGTTGGTTCTCTAACTGATAACAGTCAGTGATTAAACTTGATATCAATCAACTCCCTACAAACGAACGCTTAAGGAATTCTAGTTTCAAGAACACAATATTCAGCGAAAAGACTCTTTTCAACGAATTCATTATCAGGCTGTATAATCGTATATATATGGTTTTTTTAAGAAATTATATCCGGTGAGGGAATTAGGTCAAAGGTGTGAATACATGAAATAATAATAGTATGAAATGCAATTAAAATATTTGTGATTATAATCATAGTTAAATGTCAAGTAGCAGAACAATTATTGTCATGTATAGAATAATACATAAGGTGTGTAGATGTTGGAAAGGGGTACATAATTATAAGATTAGTAGACGAATATAAAATGTTACATAACATGGTGTGAAATTTGACAAGATAGAATTCAATAATGTAAAAATAAGAAAATAAACAGTTGTGGATTTAGAATGACAAGTGGTTTAAGTGGAAAAGATTCTGAGTGAGAATAGTAATAATAATAATAATAATAGACGTAGTAACAAGGGAAAGGTACATAGAATAATTAAATAAATGTCTATCTCTCTACGGCCAAGGCAGAAGTAAGGATTGTACGTACTTCTTTAGTACATAAAGGTCTGGCTGGCTTACAGTCATGAATTGCCAAGGCCTCAGCTGTCTTTAGAAGAAAACGAAGGAAGTTAGCATGAATTCTATATATGATCTTGAAATCATGATCAGAATTGATCGAATGACAGAAGTCGACCAGGTGTTCCAGAATAGAGCTTCGCACACACTTCCTTTCTCCCTTGCAAAACCAAGCTGGAATATGTTCTCGTTACAGACTTCTAAAGACAGCTGAGGCCTTGGCAATTCATGACATTAAGCCAGACCTTTGTGTACAAAAGAATTATGTACAGTCCCTACTTCTGCCTTGGCCGTAGAGAGATAGACATTTATTTATTTATGTATTTTGTTTATTTAGTTATTCTATATACCTTTCCCTTATTACTACGATCATTATTATTATTGTTACCATTCTCACTGTGAATTATTTCAACTTGTCATTCTAAATCCACAATTGTTTATTTTCTTATTTTTACAATATTGAATTCTATCTTGTCAAATTTCACACCATGTTATGTAACATTTTATATTCGTCTACTAATCTTATAATTATGTACCCCTTTCCAACATCTACACACCTTATGTATTATTCTATACATGACAATAATTGTTCTGCTACTTGACATTTAACTATGATTATAATCACAAATATTTTAATTGCATTTCATACTATTATTATTTCATGTATTCACACCTTTGACCTAATTCCCTCACCGGATATAATTTCTTTAAAAAAAACATATATATACGATTATACAGCCTGATAATGAATTCGTTGAAAAGAGTCTTTTCGCTGAATATTGTGTTCTTAATGCTACAATGGAAATTGTAAAATTCTAGTTTCATTTATGAGTACTTCTTCTGCGTTCTATCTCCCGTGTGAATTCGTACAATATGGACAGTAATATTCAGGTTAGGCGTATAGTGTTAGATAAGGAGGGTTGTAAAGCTACATCAATTTAGATGGCTAGGACACGTGCTGCGTAAGCGAAGACAACGCCCTCCACGATAGGCAATCTTAGGCAATCGGATTACGACGTTGGCGAAAAGTTATACACCAAAACATGGAATCAGTTCATGAAATCCTTAACAGTTAGTCTGAACCATGTGGGGAGGTGCGGACTACCTGCCTGGTCGGGGTTCCTTCGGATGCTAAACACCACTGGCTTGAGACTATTAATGATATGGCTCAAAATCGTTTTCAAAGGTACAGATGCATTCACTCTTTGTGATGTCCGATATCTATGAGTATCGCTATTCATTCTTCCTCAGATTTCTATTGATTATAGTACTTTTCGATCGCCTTTTCTTCTCTTTGTTTTATCTGCGTTTGTATACGTTCTACATGGATCATGGCGACTTGAGCTGGTGCACTTCTATGCTAATTTCTATGATGACACCCAGTTAGTCAGTCAGTCAATCACGTCATTTTATTTTACCTAAAGCGCGACGATGTACAGAGGCTTTTTTCTACAGGAATAGATACCCATCCAGCCATCAGGAGTGACCATAAAACATACACTTTAAAACAAAATAACTTATTATGAATTCAATTTACAATATAAAATCAAAAATTAAATAAAGAAAAAGAAAATCTATCAAGAGTAATAGTGTTAGAGAAACGCATGATTTTAGATTTTTCGTTATCTTCTCAAACAAAGAGGACCAGTAGGTGAGAAGGAGCTCAACGCAAAATAACTAAAACTAGCGAAAAACAACTCGCCAACCATCAACCAGTGTAAAATGCTAAAATAAAATAAAATGCACAAGAAACAAGTCATTTTGAAACTCTTTTCAATGATAAACGACGATTAGATGGTAGTAATGGACTGATGGGTGTTTTTGGTGTCGGTGGTGTAGACATCGCTTGAGGTGTTCTACTTGCTTGACGACGTTGACGAGTTTTCACTAGATCTGCTATACTTAAATCTGAACTATCAAATGAATCATTTTCAAACTGAGAACTTGAAAACATCGGAGAATCATTTAGATTGAAAGATGATTGTAATTTAAAAGAATTCGAGGGAGATATCTGTTGTGAAACAGAAGAGAGAATAGAAAACAAAAACATCATGATATGGTTTGGTTAGAAGATAAGTGAAATCAACAGTATGTTTAAGTTATTTTTGTAATCGTTGTTGATTGATTGTACCGGGTTGAAATACTCGTTTCTTGATGACATACCGGTTCCTAATACGGACACTTCGAAGATTTCCTGAGATGGACATGATGTTAGCTGGTTGGTGGTGACTACAAGTGAAATCCAGGACGAGCATTTTGTCCTATTGAGGACCCATTAAGAAACCCCACATATCACGTATACTGATATAGTACTATTCTATCATAACTGGTGGTAGGTGGTATTGATTCCAACAAAACTAAGGATGATCACACCAATATATTTATTAAGATGCAGCTTATTACTCTACGGAAGGGGAAGGAGAGAGACATGGTAAACTTGTACTGGCTGTGACATACTATACGAGTTCTTCAAACACCACAACAGTCGGTAAACATCACAGTCGTTGATATGAAGGCAATCCTTTTAATATGCATCACAGTGATGAACTTGCTCTTCGGTACAATCAAAAGTCAACGGATACCCTTCTCATGTTAACTCTAACTGTATAAACAAATTTACATATATCTGCGGAACCAGTTACATTGAAAGAACAGAAAAAGGGGCACACCTTCGAGTTTCTGAACATGTACAAAAAAAAGCCTACATCTCAGGGGAACACACGTTTACAGAAGTGTCACTGCCATACATCTCATCCATACGGACCATTAAATACGAAATACTTCAATTCTCTTCAAATGTACCGCAGCAGCTGCTATCAAACACCTAAAATCTCGATCTATGGGTTCAAAAAGAAGTAGTTATCAGTCTTTCCTTACCCTGGCAACTAGATGTCTTTGTTCTCTCTATCCTTTGATTGTGCGATTTTTGGCTTTAACCTCTTCCACCCTCTTTGATACAGTGTAAATGCTTGTGTCTTATTCCTATGACTTCAGTTGGAATCACTATATTGTTACTCAGTTTATTAGTCACTTATCATTTACTGACTTGCTATTGCATGCAGTTATTCTTGCCTAATCCTTGAATTCTCTATATTGTTTCAATAATTTTTCTCTTGATTTGATTGGTAGTAGCATTTTCCATATTTCGCGTATGAGTGATCAATCATTCCTATTGCATATGTTGGATGTAGACTCGATGAACAAGGATTCCGTAATCAGCCTCTCTCTCCACCTATCTATATTACTCCCACCCTATTGTGTGGTTGGGTGTTAGTTAATATATGCAGCGCAGTCGCTGAGCTTTTTTCTAAATTATTTATCTTCTCAGGGTCAACCATTCTTACCTTAGCTAAATTCTTATGTTCCGACAATCTGACTACCCCTGACCTACTAGTTTGACCTATGTAGTTGACCCAACTCACAGTGATTGCAGGGTATTTTGTAAATTATATTATTTTGTCTAATTGGATCAACGGAGTCCTTTAGCCCACAGAGCTCGTCTCTGAGTGAGTTTGTAGGTGTGAATGACACCTTTATTCCTTCTTGGTTGAGAATCCTACGTAGGTTCTCAGATGTCCCCTCTTTATATGGTATAACTGGAGGTGACTTATATTCTCTCTTATGATAGAGAAGATTTGTAGCTCAGGTGGAAACAATCAGTTCCAACGCAAGTAACCTACAAGGTGTGAAAACACACACAAACAACCAATCACGTCCAAGATCACCAGGAGGAATGATTAATAAACTCGTGGAGAAACCTAAAAGCTCACTTCAAATTGAAGTATGCGCTGAAGATGTCACCCAGTAGGGCGATGAAAGCTTCGCAAACTAACCATCCAGCTCAGAGAACAAAACCACATCAAAATTCTCTCTTATTTATGTTATTATTAATAGTTTCACAATTATTTTTATTTTTATTTGGGCCTTTTTCAATGTTCCTAATGAATTTTAAAGGATAGTAATTTAACACCAAAGCCTCTTCTATCCGTTTTATTTCATCATTTAGGTCTTTTTTTGTGCTACTTAATGCCACTGCTCGATTTGTTAGACACTTAACTAAGCCTGTCCTAAAAGTTAACGGATGAGATGAATTAAAGTCTAAATATCTATTAGAATGAGTTGGTTTTCTGTACACACTAGTGTGCAGTTTACCTTCTTCTATTCGTTGTAAAATTAGATTGTAAAATTTAAAAAAATCACTTCATGTTCTTTTCTCTCTAATGTCCTGATGGGTATTTTCCACAACCTAAATAATTATATGCTTAAATTGTGTCAATCAGACAGTCTTATTGAATTATAACACACACACTGACACGATATTCATAACTGGACGACATTTTATTATAGCTCAATTTATTGTCTCTAATCAGATCAATATATCCTCATACGACTTCTTAACTTGCCTTGAATAGACTTACTCCCCCCCGTCTGCTGTTTCTCATTGCAACTTTCCACATATCCGGGGTAGTAGGTGTCTCTTTTAATTTTATTTTTTATTCGTTTACGTTCCTAGCCGAACCTACGGCTTAAAGCTAGAGCTTTGTAGTTTCGGTAGCAGTGGTGTTTATTTTTACAGGATGGGATTGCTAGCCAGCCTCATGCCCCCAACCTTCTCTCTTTACCAGTCTTATTGTCAGATTTCTGGAGTAAAGGAGTGTGTCGGCCGTGAATCGAACCCAGAACCGCATGAGGCGTGGATGGCGAGCACCGATTGGATAGTAGGTGTTGTTCGTGTTTAGTGCTGATTCGATGGGCAAAGATTCAGTGATTAAGCCCCCCTCTCCCTCCTAACAAATTCGTATTTTGCTAACTGATGTATGATTTTACAATTTACACAATTTGAGGGAGTGAAATTTCACCACAATTTTCTTTAGAGATGGCAATTATTTGGATCACAATAAGTGATATGTTTGACATCATCAATTGGAATCATGAAAGCATGGCTAAATGAATAGTGATACTTACTTTACTTTACTTCGGCTATCTCCTACGGGAGGATGAGCCGGCTTCATGAACGAGTTCATGAAGTTTCTTGGGAATTTGGTACGAGTGATGTCCCCAGCATCGCTCGGCCTTTTGTTTGAGAGTGCAGCTCTAGCCTTTACACAGCCAAGTGTGACCTACAAGGCAGTAGGAGTGGAGTAGGGAGCCCACTATCCATTGGCAGCCGGTGACCGGAGTTCGGTTCATACGCCTTTTTGAATGGGGCCAGACATCCAGGACATCCAACAAGCCCTTTGTCCATACGTCTGCCGGTGAGCTCCGGTGAGCTTCATACGCCAGTCGTTGAAGGTTTGGAATCAGGGTTTAGCCATCTCCTCTAGACTGTCATCCAATGGACAGTCAACCCGGTGGAGAGCGCCGGGCATCCGCTTTTGCCCTCTCGCTTTAGTGAGAAACACCTCCGCCACGTGAAGGCAGTGAGTAGGACTTCCTCAGGAGAGGCTATGTAAGACGCACGGTCATATGGGAGCATTTCAAGAGGTGTGCGGAGGGGTGGCCAACCCGCAGCGCAAGACACCCACCCCCGACCATCCTGAGGCTTTGGAGGCAAATGAATAGTGATATTAACTACGGATTCATTAGTAATCAGAAATGTACTAGTAGTACACAGCGTCAAGCACCTATGCTTGCCTTCTTGATTGACATTTACGGGATTCAGGAAGCCACATTCTAGGATCTAAATAATTTTGGTTCCCACGAATTGGATGGTTTGAATTGATTCTGCATTCAGGGCAAGTCAATTAGGGTATACCTCTGACGAAGGAGAGAAATGGCAGTCCGGTGTTTAGATCACTCTGATCTAGTTGGCGGTAAGCACTGTTGGTTGATGTGAGATGGTTATCAACTATTCATATCAATCATCAATCGGTAGTACACGACTCCCTTTGCCCATAATTATATCACTTGCAATACTTTCCTTCTATCCAGCTATTAATATTGTATCACTGTGTGTTATAATCGAATAAACTTATCTAATATGGGATTATATTCTACCACAATGCCCTGGTTCTGCTCTTACAATCATAATAGGAATACTTAAATTATTATTATTGTTAAAATATCATTAAAATGTTTTAAAATATTATTATAACTATTATTATTATTAAAGGCGGCATTCGATTCTGTCGACCGAGAGGTACTTTGGCGATGCTTGGCTGTAAAGGGAATGCCGAGAAAATACATTGCACTAATCAAGGCACTCTACTCGAACTCATGCAGTCAGCCAGGTGAGGACTTACGGCGAGTTGTCATCTGAACTAGTGACAACTAGTGGTGTCCGTCAAGGATGCCCATTATCTCCTTTTCTATTCAATTTCATCATAGATGTTCTGATGGACTTAACTTTAACTAACTTCAGAGACTCAGGGATTGACTTGCTACCAGGGAATAATCTCGTTGACTTAGAATATGCAGACGATATAGTCCTTCTAGGCGAAGACGCTGACAAAATGCAGAGTCTTCTGAACACCTTGAGCTGCAATCTACAAATGTTTGGCATGAGATTAGCTTCCACCAAATGCAAGATGATGTTACAGGACTGGACCACACTGACTTCTAGCATAGAAATAGGGAGTGAAGTGGTAGAGCGAGTTGATCACTTCGCTTATTTGGGAAGTTGCATCAGTCAGTGCCAGCTGTTTGATCGCTGACGAAATCTCGGCACGGATACAGAAGGCTAGTTTCACATATGCCAGTTTTCGACGTCTCTGGCGTAGACGTGATATTCGGCTACAGTACAGGGGGTGTGTACTGCTCAGCACTCCACTCCATCCTCCTTTACAGCTGCGATTGAGACCTGGCCATTGAAAGCTGACGACACTAAAAGACTAGCTTTCTTTGATCATAGGTGTCTGCGTTCTATCTCCCGTGTGAAGTGGTATAATAAGGTGGGCAATATTGAGGTTAGGCGTCAAGTGCTAGGTAAAGAGGGGAAATCAATCAACGAGGCTGTGAAGCTACATCGACTCAGATGGTTAGGACATGTGTCACGCACGCATGACTAGCCATCACCTCCCTCAACGGGCAATGTTAACTGGCATAGGGTCAGGCTAGAAAAGAGAGAGCTACGGCGGTCAAAACAAAACATGGCTTCATCAGTGAATGAAATCTACAACAGTTAGTTTAAGCCAGCCACGTAGGAAGATGTAGACTTCCTGGTTGGGGTCATCAGGACGGTAAAAACCAATGGTTAGAAACAAGTGGTGATATGGCTCAAAATCGTTCTCAATGACAGCGCAGATGCATCCACCTCTTGTGACTTATGATTTCCAATGAAACTGTTTTGTTCTTCGTTATTACTATTCCTTTGTCTCACATCTCTGTTTACTGTCTCTAATATGCATTTCTTCTACTTTCTTCTCTGGCTTTGTGTGGTACATGGAGTGTGACGACTCGAACTGCCGCACAATGTGCAAAGTTCTATGTCGAAAACAGACAGACAGACAGTTAAAATATTCTCATCGATAAAATGTACTTACGTCTTTATCTTCTGAATCTGACGAACTTAAAATATCCTTAGGCGATGGGATTGACACTAAATTCTCCTTACCATCTGGATTTTCATCTTTATTATTATTATTATCATTATTATTGTCACAAGGCTGTGAACTACGACAACGTTTAGCTTTTGGTTCAGGTGTAACGCATAAATCATCAACAGCAATAGGCATTGGAGGAATACTTGGAGGCGGTGATTTTGTGACCTGAACACTTTCAAATTGTTTATCATCATCGTTGACAGTCTTTTTATCTGGTACAACTGATGCTGATATGGAGGATAGAGAATTTGATGGTCCAACTAAGCTTGAACGAGAACGTGTCTTCCGTGAAAGTCCTGTACGCGATGCACTTCGATTTGGTAAAGTTCGAACGTAGGGACTCTAAAATAAAATACGTAATAAATATTCAAGTGATTATAGTAGTAGGAACGCTTTACAAACATTGAATATTGGTTATGTGAAAGACAAACACAGAAATATTTTTTTTCTTTCCTTCACGTTCCCAGTGGAACATAGGGCTTCAAGCTAGTGGCTTGAAGTTTCTGTAGTAGTGTCTATTTTTACAGGATGGGGTTTCTAGCCTCATGCCCAACCTTTCCTCTCAAACAGCTTTATTACTGGCTTAGCGAGGTAAGAGGAGTGCGTCTGTGGCCGGGGATCGAACCCGGGACTATGCACATAGTCGGTGAGCGTCCTAACCGTTGTGCCACCGACGCAGAAATATTGATTCACGAAATAAACAGTCATTGTCTTAATCATATGAGAGCGATAAGGGTAACTGAGTAAGAATATTGGGCAGAAATATCACACACACACAGCCTGGTAGTCAAAACTTCTCACTAGAACTCGAAGAGTGATGTAGCTTCAGTTGACTTAAACACTTAAGTTTCAGCTGACGAGGTTTTGTTTCCGAAACCCGCCCTATATTTCATCTTGGGCAACTGGATAATAACAGAGGCATTTACACATTGAGTTTCACTAATCGTGCAGTATATGGAAAGCTTGTCTCGTGTAAGTCGGTCCGAACAACAAGAACAATGTACAAACCGATAACTCCAACCAGTAAGTAGTGGATTAATTTTCAACTCATTAAAACCATTCATTATTTATTTTTTTTTTACCTAATTAGACTGATTCTGAATCAGAATGTTTTGATAAAAAAAAATCGACTCAGTCATAATACGAAGCGAAACAAGAAAATTCAAGAAAAGATTTTTATCCTGATTGGAGATCTATCAGCTGGATTCATAGATATTCTTGTTAAGTGTTACTCCATTAATATCTACGGAGGGAGGACAATGAACAACAGGGATTGGTTGACTGGCACATTCCTAACACAGATTTATATTAATAATATAACAATTTTGAATTAGTTGTGTTCTCTGAGCTGACTGATTTAATTGAGGAGTTTTCATCGTCCTTCTACACAATATCTTCAGTGCAGGTTTTAGTCTAAAATCAATTTATTTAAATTCTCTCCATGGATGATGGTATATCCCATATATCCTGGCAAACATTGTCGTGACTGATTGTTGATTTACGTCTCTACTCCATAAAAGTGATCAATATCATCCACCTAAGCTACGCCACTGAGAACGATTTTGAGTCATATCACTAATAGTTTTCAGTCAGTGGTTCATAAGCATTCAGAGGATCCTAATCAGGCAGGCGCTTTACACTTTCCTATCTGGATCAAATTAACTGTTAAAGATTTCATGGGATGGTTCGAAGTTTTGTTTTAATCACCACCACTAACTACTGGACTTTTGGAGGCAGCATTAAAATCAACAATAAACTTGAAGACATAAGAACAAAGAAGTTCATACAAATTTGGACTTTAGTAATACAGTCAAAACTTTACTCCCTTTCTAATAATATTTATCCTAGATTTTAATTAAAAAAAGGTTTCCATACCAAAATTAAGCTATCAACTAGATATTCTGTTTACGGCATCAGTAGGTTTTCCTTTGAAATAGTTAATGCTTGAATATTAAAAAAAACTTCAAAAGCTATATCTTAACTTTTAGTATGAGCTTCTACATTCCAAGAAATATTTTACCATACAATAAATAAACATCTGTAGTTTAAACCGATAAGTTCTAACTAAACTTCACGTAACATTTTTCTGAACATTCAACAATATATATATATATATATATATATATATATAAATAATTTGGAGGATTTTATCATGAGCTGACATCAGTTAGAGGACCATTGGAAAACAACCAGTGAGTACTGGACAGATGTTTCATCCTAGTTTGGGAGTCTACGGCAGTACGCACCCACCTCAACTGGGTTCGAACTCAGGACCTTCTGGTTACAAGGCCAGCGAGCTCGTAGGCCATAAAGCCACTGGGACCCGATCCAATGACCTATGAATTCAAACTTCTGCCAATCAAACAAAATCCCTACGAACCAATACTTATATATATATATATATATAAAGATGTCCATCAGCATAAAAACATCAAATAGCAGGGAGATAGGTTGGAGGGAATAATACAGCCTTGCGGAGATAAATGAGACATCTGAAAGGAACACAAAGAAACACAATACGAAGGAAGAGTAGAAGTAGCGGAACACGGAAGATCTATGCTAATGATCCGTTGAAGATAAGGTGTACATGATTTGGCTACATAGTGATACTAAATTGTAAATAAACATTCCTTTACCAAGTCTTGGTCTTCTGTCGTTACAATATAATCAGGCTATTTTGCCACGTCTACTCCTAGTGCAGATTCTTCGATGATATCTGAAGATTAAAAGGGTGTTGTTTTAGTTGACTGTGAAGTAATTTGGGAAGAACTGCAGTGCTATGACGTGGTCAAAAACTCCATCAACCTCATTCAACAGCTATGTGACACATGTCAAGTCTGTCTGTCTGTCTGTTTTCGACATAGAACTTTGCACAAATGTGCGGAAGTTCAAGTCGCCACATTCCGTGTAGCACGCGAAGCAAGAGAAGAAAGTACAAGAAAAGCATAATAGAAACAGTGAGTAGAGGTGTGAGACAAAGGAGTAATAAAGAAATACAAAACAGTTTCATTGAAGATCATAAGTCACAGGGAGTGGATGCATCTGCGCCACTGAGAACGGTTTTGAGCCATGTCACCAATTGTTTCCAGCCTTCATTGGTTTTTACCGTCCCGAGGACCCCAGCCTGGAAGTCTACACCTTCCTACGTGGCTTAGACCAACTGTTGTGGATTTCATTGACTGATGCCAAGTTTTTGTTTGACCGCCGCTAGCTTTTTTCCAGCCTGACCCTATATCCGCTAACATAGCTCGTCGAGGGAGGCGATGGCTTGGCATACGTAACACATGTCCTAACCATCTCAGTCGATGTAGCTTCACGACTTCGTCGATTGATTTCCCCTGTTTACCTAGAACTCTACACATGTCAAGTGATCCACAACGGAAAGCTCAGCGAATACTTTGAAGTGAACACAGGAGTAAGATCATGAAGGTGCCAACTACCACGGATGATATTCCTAACTGTAGTGCTTCAGATTATGTGGAAGACTGTGGTAAGCAACAGGACAGGGACACATTGGACAGATAAACACACTCTAAAAGATCTGAATTTTGTGGATGATTTATGTCTAATGACACACAAATTCGAAGGTCCACAAACGACAACCAACAATTTGGGAGGAGACGCTGGTAGAAAAGACAGGACTTCAAGTGGACATAGAGAAGACGGAGGTGATCAATATAACCAACCAACCAACAACAACAACAAACTTCAATCACCATCAGCAGTAAAAATTTGAAAGAGGTCGCTTCTACAACTTATTTGGGCAGCATCATTTCAACAAATGGCAGTCGGCACCGATGAAGATGTCACGACCAGAATAGGATAGGCAAGACAGACATTTATCACTCTGAAATCAGTCTGGAAATCTGCTGCATTCAGCAAACACAACAAAATTCGGATTTTCAATACCACTTTGAAGTCAGCTCTTCTAAATAAGTCAGCAACTTGGAATGTCATGAAAAGCATTTCAGACAGCCTGAAGCTGACTTTTATCAACAGCTGTCTTCGCTGGCTTCATACTGAGGATCAGATGGCCAGACAGAAAGAATCAGCAACAAGAAACCCTGAGAACGAACCCTCATGCGTGTAGACAATCGCCTTTCTGTACGACCTATGTATTTGCTGCCACAAACTAATTCAATGTAGTTTGTTTACTTATCAGTCTTATATCTCCCAATGTAATTTCAAAAGTATATATATATATATGTATATCCGTGTATGTAGAGTATTCAGCTGACGAGTTCTACGGAAATTGGATGAATTCATTAAATCCTGCTTTATTAACATTTATTGCTTGTTTTGAATTCGTATCGGGAAATAAACGTTTTCAATATTTCTTAGATTCGAGTTCCACTCAACCTACTTCAGTCAAGTCAAATAAGGTGTGACTCTTAGCCTGGTATGTGGAAGACATGTTACAGGTAATGAAGTTCTAAAAAAAGAATGTGAAAATGAGAATTCTTATGAGGTCGACTTTCACATAATTGGTCAGTCAATGAGGTGGTTGTGAAGCAACATCTCGACTGAGATCTCTAGGACACGTGTTAGCCGTGCCACGTTAACACATTCTTCGTCGAACAACAACTAACTAACTGACAAACTAGCTATTTGGAAAAGAGTTTTAAAGGATGATCAAACCAAAAATTGGAGTCAGTCCATGAAATCTTCAACCATTAGTTTAAGATAGCCCCAAGTAGGAAGCTGTAAATTACCTGTCTGAGGGCCTTGGGATGCTTAAGAATCAGTGGTTGGAGATTATTACTGATATAACTCAATATCGCAGATGTATTCACTCTTTGTGATATCTATTTAACCTTCATGTTTTTCAATGTTAATATTCTTTCTGTGGGTTTTCTGATTATTATAGCTCCTTTGAAAATAGATTTCTTTTTCTACTTTGTGTGATATATGTAGTATGGCAGTTTGAATTGTTACACCTGTGTGCACGGTTCCTCGTTGAAATCTGGTCAATCTAGCGTATTCCAGAAGCAACTACATAGACGACAGAACGAAAGTGAATTGTAATGCACAGTTTTCTTTGGAAACCGATACTATTCAGGTTACAATGTGTGATATGCTTGGTACTATATATATATATGTATATGGAAATCAAGAAAGTATGCAGTAAACATTGATGCTACATACTACTGACTGACTGAAACGAGTAGTCGTATACCACTAAAATCAACCACTAGTGGTGTTCCATTATGGATAAGATTTTATTTTGATAAATCACACAGTGTTATACAGTAACATTAACTGATGACGCTTCCAGCACGAATTATTGCTCATTATTATATCAAGTTACTCACACAACTTTTTTCCTTCATTTATATGCATGTGTGGAACCGATTAGATATTGGAATAAATTCAATATACGACAAAGTACATTCAGAAATAATAATATGAGTGTCATTGATCAATTACAATCAGATGGGAAATAAGAGGAGTGTTTTTATAGTCATAATTATAGGTAACTTGTTAGAATGTTGTGATGTGCTTGGACTGAAATAGAATTACAAGATTATTTATTATCCTTTTCTGATTTGACTGGCGGTAATAATACCCTCCATATTTCTGGTATTTGCATGAGTAATTTCTGTTGCATGTGTTGGATGTAGACTCGATGAATCAGGACTCAGTAATCAGTCTCTCTCTCTCTCCACCTACATAGATTACTTCTTTGAATCTTAACCCTCTCTCACTCTATTGTGTGGTTGTGTGTTAGTTAATATGCAGTGCAATTGCTGACCATTTTCCTACATTACTTATCTTTTCCGGGTCGACCATTCTTCCCTTAGCTAAATTCTTATGTTCTGATAATCTGACTACCTGCGACCTACTAGTTTGACCTATGTAGTTGACCTCACTCACAGTGATTGCAGGGTATTTTGTAAATTGCATTATTTCGCTATTATTTTGATCCAATTAACAAAATAATATAATTTACAAAATACCCTGCAATCACTGTGAGTGAGTCAACTACATAGGTCAAACTAGTAGGTCGCAGGTAGTCAGATTATCAGAACATAAGAATTTAGCTAAGGGAAGAATGGTCGACCCGGAAAAGATAAGTAATGTAGGAAAATGGTCAGCAATTGCACTGCATATATTAACTAACACACAACCACACAATAGAGTGAGAGAGGGTTAAGATTCAAAGAAGTAATCTATGTAGGTGGAGAGAGAGAGAGACTGATTACTGAGTCCTGATTCATCGAGTCTACATCCAACACATGCAACAGAAATTACTCAATGCAAATACCAGAAATATGGAGGGTATTATTACCGCCAGTCAAATCAGAAAAGGATAATAAATAATCTTGTAATTCTATTTCAGTCCAAGCACATCACAACATTCTAACAAGTTACTTACACTTGTCTTATTTTCAATCTGTGCGTCAGTGGCACAGTGGTTAGGACTCTCGCCGACCATGCACATGGTCCGAGGTTCGATCCGCTGCCGACGCACACCTGATATCTATGATCGGCCTGCGGAATTCGGGCTACCGATATCCATGTTGAAAATTCTATACTTGTACCAAAAATACAGTGTGGAAACAAGTTGTAATCAAAAATAAAAATAAATAAAAAATTTTAAAAAAACAAAAAAAATAATTGATCAATAACACTTATATTAATATTATAGGTTTCCAGACCGTAGGTGTTACGAATTTCCTGGAAAAATTTGAGCGCCGAATCAGATTAATTCATTATAAATTATATAAATTAATCCCAGCGTGTCAAGAAACGCAAAACAAGATTTTTCCGAACGTTTCACCGTGTAAGCCACAGCTTCTTCAGCAGATTTATTCGGATTATATAATCATCAAAATATATAGTTTTTGATATATATTTTGATGATTAATTATGATCCGAATAAATCTTCTGAAAAAGCTGTGGCTTACACGCGAAACGTTCAGAAAAATCTTGTTTGATTTTCTTAACACGCTGGGATTAATTTAAATAATTTATAATGGACTTATATTAATACTTCTGAATGTACATTATCCTATATTTATCAAAATAAAATCTTATCCATAATGGAGTTATAGTCTACCACAGTGCCCAAGTTTTATACTTATATCACTAGCGGTGTTCGAACTAATTCAATTCTCTGAGTTGAGTCAAACCACATAAACCGCTGATAAGATCAGCCCAAATGAGTGGAACGGCATCCATCCGGTGTTGCTACCGCTTTCATCTGACTAAAAAGGACTAACGGTTGAGGTGTGTGGTAACCAACTACTCATCTCAGTCAATCAGTAGTATGCAGCAGCAAAATATGATACCATCAAGTGCAAATCGAAATCAAGACAGGCATTACACATAAATTAATTGTAAAATGAGGTAACTTAACACACAAAAAAGCGGTTTTAATTGACTTACATTGGTAGAAGTATTTTGTATTGGCGATTCACAACTTTGCTGTTTCTGTGGTTGAAATTCATTCGTTGGAGTAAATCTTTTAATCGGAGTAAAATTCTAAAAATAAGAAATAACACTGTCTATTAAGATATGCTAAGATATAAGTTCTTCAGAGAGAAAAATAAAAGAAGTTTCCAGGGTAAGGCAAACATAAACTGACAACCTTCACTCATCAAGTAGATTAATTAACAAGACTTTACGGAACGAATATCCTCAAAAGAGTAACTGTATAATAAGCATATCTCATTTGTCATCACGTCTATTCCACCACTACTTGACACATGTAGATATGAGATGCGCTAGCCAAGACAACTCTTGGGTTATTAGGAATCTTAAGTTCTTAATATTTACATGCGTTGCTGAGAGTGGATTCTTTTCAAATCTACTACAATCATGGACGCCAACCAACGCATTAGTTATCACTGGGAATTGCTTTAAGTACTCACTGAAGTTTGATATAAGACCTGTGAATTATTCATTCAACTAATATTTGTGACTAACATTTTTAACATTGAATTAATTGACAAGAATTTCCAAGTATTGGTTTTTGTAGGGATTTTTTCTCATTGGTTGGGGGATTTCATCATGAGCTGACATAGGTTAAAGAACCACCGGAAAACCAGGGAGTACTGAACAGCTATTGCTTCAGCCTAGTTTGGGACTCTTTATCAGTACGTACTCACCCCAAATGGGTTTGAATCTAAGACCTTCTAGTTACAAGGCCAGCGAGTTCGTAGACCATTAAGCAAATAGGATCCAATCCAATAACCCATGAATTATAACTTCTGCCAATTCATGTCATAGAGCGACCACTTCACAATTTCCAAAAGTGGCAGTAGTTAGAATTTATAGGCCATTGGATAGGGTCCAAATGGTCTAATGGTCTATGAGCTCGCTGGCCTTGTAACCAGAAGGTCCTGGTTTCGAACCCTGGCTGTGCGGTGGGTGCGTACTGTGAAGAGTCCCAAACTAGGCTGACGAAACAGCTTCCAGCTGGTTTTCCAGTGGTTCTTTAACTGATGTCAGCTCATGATGAAATCCTCCAACCCATCATTGACAAACAAAGCAAATTCAGATTTGCAGTTATGATCAGATTTCTTAAAAAAACTGGTACAGATTGTAGGAAATATTAAAAAAGACGGTTGTATGGAAGAAAATTTTCTTCTCAGTGAAGTCATCAATTAGTTTGTGTTTCATGTATTTTTAGTGATTGGGTAAGGAATTTCCATAACTATTTCCGATCAAGGGGCAAATTTACAAGATCACAAAATGGGGTTAAAATGTAATAATAAGAAAATAAATGGGAAGATTGGAAAAAAGCATAGTAGGATCAAACATTATTGAGAAAAATAACTCTTTTGTGCAGTTAGAGATTAATAAGGTAGTAATAATCAAAATGGACAGAAATTCCGGATAAAAACAAAGTAGTATAAACAGGGATTAGAAAAAAGTAAAGTGCGTCGGTGACTTAGTTGTAGAATGCTAACCGACCACGCCTCGAGTGGTTCGCGTTCCAATTCCTGACCGGTGCACTACTTTACCTCATTTAGCCAGTAATAAGACCGGTAAAGAGGGAAAATCGGGCGTGCGGCTAGCTATCCTACCCGCTAAAAATAAAATAAACACTACTGAAACTTCAGAGCTCTAGCTTGAAGCCTATGTTCCCCTGTAAACGTAAAGGAATAAAATAAAAATAAGAAAAACGTAAAAATAACAGAAGTTAAAAGGAAGTTTGAACAAGACACGTAATAGGATGATGATTAGTGAGCGAAATGACTGTTTACGAATGCCATAGTAAAGACAAAAGTTGGACATACTTCTTTTGAGTACAATTCGTGGGCTTGAACTTTAGAATCACTAGTGCTTCAGCTGTGTCAAGATGCCTTGATCTCGTTCCCTCTGAGAAGTTTATTCAGATCATGTATAGGATTTCGAACGATTCATTCAAATGGAGCTGAATGCCCTGGGTCCATCAGTTATTCCGTACACAACTACGTTCTGCCAGATTGGATAATGTTCTCGAGTGCAGCTCCCCAAGTGTAAGTGAAATATATATATATATATATATATATATATATATATATATTCACGATGAGTAACCGATGGGCGTGCTGTCCTCTCTTGGGACTATTCATTATTACCCAACCCCTGAACTTGTACAGAATCGCACCCGTGATTGGTAGGTTGAGGAGTGAACATTTAGTCACTGTGCGACAACTCACTAGCACAAGACTTTCAACGTCTGATGTGTTATATCAGTGTGTAACGCCAACACATTCACCTTGATGTAACACATACAGATTATGACCAGTCGGATTCACACAAATCTAACATATGAATATCAACCACATACTCCACTCCATAACTTAGAGACGCATTTCTAGTGAGAAAATGAGATGTGCAGCAGCTTCGAGTTACCACACTCCATTGTAGCACACAAAGCAAGAGGAGAGAGTTAAGGGAGGTTCAAATGACAGATAATAAATAAAAGTGTAAGCTATAGAAAAAGCATAGTAATATGGAAGAACAACAGAATTTTATTGGATGTTATAAATCACAAGGAGTGGAAGCAACGGACCATTGAGAACGATTTTGTGCCATATCACCAGTGGTATCTAGCCCTCATCGGTTCTTACCATCCCGAGGACCGCAACCGGGAAGCCTACATCTCCCAACGTAGCTTAAACTAACTATTGTGGATTTCATTGGCTGATACCACGTTTCAGCTTAAATATGATAATAAAACTGTACAGAAAAGTGAGATTGAAAAAAAAAACAATATCATTTTACTAATAACGCCATACTTGTTCTTTCAATGGTAGACCTTGTCTCAGCACCGATTTATTTGGCGATTCACAAACTGATTTCGAAGGTAGTAAGTAATCATCATGAAGGGGAAGAATAGGCCTTTTCGGAGTATTACTACTTAACGGAGTTGAATGCATACGACCAGATGGGGAGCCTCGTAACAAAGCAGATAAACCAATACCTGTAGAATTTGGTGTATTATTTGTCAAGAATAGTGGAACAGATTTTGTCTGATTTAAAGGCGAATCAGATATGTGAAGATTTGGATTATAGCCTGATTTTGAGCATAAATAGTCTTTGACAACTTGTTGAAGATATGAAACAGTAGCAGGATCCTGAAAACGATTATTGAAAAAAGGAGAAAAACTTCAGTTATTTTAATACATTTATGGATGTTTATATTGTTTCGATGACGATTATTTTAGCCAGGCTTCACTTGGTCGTTAAATGATTGGACTTTATTGTATTGCATACTACATTAGTCAAGTTGATTCCCCTTGCGAATACCACATGTAGATCTTTCCCCTTTCTAACTAACCGGAATGATGAACTGGCGTGGACGCCAGTCCCATTCAAGCTAGGGTGATTTAACAGATAAATGTAGACCAAGTAAAACAGTTCTGCATAGTGTCTTGACCAGAGTTTCTACAGTTTTGACTGAAAAGTTGGTAAACCTCCATTCTTCTTCGAGATCTGACAAATTTATTCAGGAATCCATCTCCTTAGTACTGATGTCTTTTCCATTTCTTTCAGTTTCATCACTCACTACTATGCATGTTTATTATGAAGACTTAGAGTCAGCTTGTCAAAGTTTATCTCCTTAAAATCATCATTTTTGATGACATTACCGGATGTTGGAGATCTTTGTTAATCATTGGTTCGAAGTGATAAACCGTCCTCACAGGTGTTTCTACAGTAAATCAATGGTAATAAACTCCTTTAGATTGAGTATCATTGTCGTTGATATAAGAATAGAACTTCGGCACTGTGGTAGAGTATAATTCCATCATAGAGTAAGATCACACAATGATACAGTATTACTTACTTCATGACATTTCGAGCACAATTTATTACTACTCATAATCAGACTCACATAAATTCAAAACTTCATTTATAATGTTCCATTATTTCTTATCCTTTGATTTGATTGGTAATAATATTTTGGTATTGATGATTCGATGAACAAAGATTCAGTAATCGTCCATTCTTTCCACCTATTTTATATTACTTTTCAGGCCCGTAACTCTGTTCTGTGTGTTAATTCATGCATTGCGATTGCTGAATTTTTTTCTAAATTACTCATCTTCACGGGATGAATCATTCTACACTCAGCTTAATTCTTATTTTCCCATAGTCTGCTTACCCCCGATAACTGTCATAAAATAAGTGCCTGGTCAAATGTTACCCATTTCAACATAGGTCTGGATGAAAGGGTTGTCTAATAGTCGCTCATTGGTTGAAGGACTTCGTCATGAGCTGACATCAGTAAGAGAACCACTGGAAAACCAGGGAGAAGTGGACAGCTGTTTCGTCCTGGTTTTAAAGCAACGAACTCCCATTGAAACTCAATTCGCGCTAGTTAAAATGATTCCAAGCAATATTGATCCCTCAGGGAACTTATTTCCCTCTTACCCTACTTTTATTTTTATACATAGTTTCCTGTGTTGTACCTTTTCTAACCTTGGCTTCTTAACCTTCGACAGCCTTTCGCCTTTGTCGAGATTCCCAGCCTATCCGTGTCGTTTCGAGATGTTAGTGAGTAGTCCTCAAAATGGTTGTTCCCAATGTGACATCTAACACGGATATCCTGAAACCGCGTGCTGCGTTCAAGCTGGCTACCTACAATGTTCGGACGCTGATGCAAATCGGACAACAGGCAGGGTTGGCAAGAACTTTGGAAAGCCTCGCTATCGATGTCTGCTGCATTTCGGAGACCCGCATTCAAGATCCCAGTGAAGTGCTTCGACTATCCTCTCCATCTGGAAGTTCTAGTAGTATGTACCACCTGCGCTTATCCGGGGACCCTGTGGCGTCGGCATCCGGCGTAGCTGGTGTCGGTGTCGCACTGAGCGCTAGAGCCGAAGCTGCACTGCTCGACTGGATTCCCATTAACAGTCGTTTATGTGCTGTGAGGCTGGAAGGTTATACGAAAGTAAAGAGTAGTAGGCCAGATAGGCGGTGTCTATTTGTTGTCTCTGCCTATGCACCGACGGATTGCAGCCCGGATGCAATGAAGGATGAGTTTTACTACCAACTGAGCGATCTCTTGAAACAGGCGGGTCGGAGGGATATCGTAGTGCTGGCTGGGGACTTGAATGCACAGGTGGGGCGTCTAAGCTCAGAGGAGAATCGTCTAGGTGGTCAGTGGGGACTACATGGTCGCAGGTCAGATAATGGGGACCGTCTTCTGCAGCTTTGCGCGGATCACAACCTATTTCTAGCTAGCACCAACTTCCGGCACAGCCATCGCCGTAGCTCTACCTGGCGTCCTCCCTCTGCGAAGCAAGCTTGGACTCAGATTGATCATATCGCGGTCAGTTTCCGGTGGCGGGGATGCATACAAGACTGTCGCTCCTTCTGGAGCACATGCCTGGACTCCGATCATGCGTTAGTGTGTGCCAAGTTCGTCTTGCGATTTGGTGGGGTTCGTAAAAGCCGTAGTCTAAGCGTTGATGTGAGCAAACTAGTAGCACCTGCTACTTCTTTGAAATATCAGAATGAGTTAAAAACAATGCTTGCCAGCAACCCCCCAAGTAGTATAGATGAACATTGGCTTCATGTGCAAGGTGCCATGCAAAAGGCGAGTGTAGCCGCTTGCGGCTTGAAAGAATGCTCCGCTAACAACCACTGGGTTTCTGCGAGTTCCTTGCAACTCATGGATGAACGCCGGTCCATTCCGGCTGGCAGCGAATACAACAATCAGCGAAAGGCGCTCACGCGCAAGATTAGACAGTGTTTACGTAAGGACCGCGAAGCCTGGTGGTCAGAACGTGCGTGTGAGATGGAGTCAGCTGCTGCATCTGGCAACAGTCGGAAGCTGTTCCAACTCATACGAGCCACCGGCAGCAAGAAACAAGGTGTCAGCGAGACGGTCTGTGAGGCAGATGGCACTCCAATTACCAGCCTGAAAAGACGCCTGGAACGCTGGGCAGAGCACTTCGGGAAGCAGTTCAGCTGGCCACCAGCTTCAGTGTCTACTATCATTAGCCCGAGTGCTCCTTGGTCGGTTAGTACCGACCCACCCACCGAAGCGGAGGTCCGTAAGGAACTCCAAGTTCTGAAACGCCATAAGGCGCCCGGCCCAGACAAATTACCCCCGGCTCTTTTTAAAGATGGTGGCGAGACTCTCACAATGGCTCTAACTGGGTTGTTCAGGAAGGTGTGGGAGACAGAGAGTGTACCATCAATGTGGAACGAAGCCATTATCGTCCCCATCTTTAAAAAGGGTCGACGTAATTCGTGTGACAATCATAGGGGTATCAGTCTGTTACCAGTCGCGTCTAAAATACTGGCTGCTGTCTTGCTTCGCAGACTGTGCAAAATACGTGAAGGATTGATTCGCGAAGAGCAGGCTGGGTTTCGTTCAGGTCGTGGATGCATTGATCAGGTGTTCACCCTTCGTCAGTTGTTGGAACACCGCCACACGTATTGCAGGCCAACGATCGTTGTGTTTCTTGATATTAGGGCTGCCTTCGATTCGTTGGACAGAACTGTGCTCTGGAACTGTCTGTTAGAGAGAGGTGTACCTGAGAAATTTGTTAACATCCTGAAAGCCCTATACAGAAACACCTCAGGTAGAGTGAGGGCATACAACCAACTATCACCACTGTTCCCAACCAACAGTGGGGTTAGACAGGGTTGCCCAATCTCTCCATTTCTCTTTAACTTTGCCATCGATGACATTCTGGAGTCAGCTCTGAAGGATGTGCGTGAAGGTGGTGTAGATCTGCTACCTGGAGATAGACTTTTCGACCTCGAGTATGCAGACGATATCGTCTTACTGTGCGATAGCATGCAGGCTGCCCAAATCGCACTTAATCAGTTGGCGATCAGTGTCTGTAAGTATGGTATGTGCTTTGCGCCGTCTAAGTGCAAAGTACTGTTACAAGATTGGCAGGAGCCTGTACCTGCACTCACTCTTGCGGGTGAACCGCTTGAAGTTGTTGATAAGTTTGTGTACCTGGGTAGTTGTGTGAGTGCTGGCGGAGGGGTGACGGATGAGATTTCCAACCGTATAATGAAGGCTAGGGTGGCATACATCAACTTGAGCCACCTCTGGCGCCGTCGCGACGTTAGCCTGGCTGTCAAAGGTCGGGTATACAATGCTTCGGTGCGAGCTGTCCTGCTCTACGCCTGTGAAACCTGGCCTCTCCGAGCTGAGGATGTGCGGCGACTCTGCGTGTTCGATCACCGCTGTCTCCGCAGGATTGCTTGCGTTCGATGGCATCATCGCGTGAGTAATTCTGAGGTTCGGCGGCGTGTGTTTGAACAAAGTGGAGATCACTATTCATTGAATGTCGTCATCTGGAAACACCGGCTCCGGTGGCTTGGACATGTGCTCCGAATGTCACCCCAGAGGCTTCCGTACAGGTCTCTGTTCGCTAGCCCTGGGACGGGATGGAAAAGGCGGAGAGGTGGTCAGTCCATGACGTGGCGTCGTGGGATGAAGGATTTTTGTGCTAGATTAGCATCGGTTGGTGTGTCACGACTCCCTGGTTGGGGTCCGAGAGATAGCTCAAATCGATGGCTCGAAACGTTATCGGATATGGCCAAGAATCGTAATCAGTGGCGAATGTGCTGTGATTTCCTTCTTTCTTCCCTTCCCGATGATAGCTAACGAACACTGTTTGAACTTGTTAAGCATGACTGTTTTCCTTCCAGATGAAGTTCTTTATCCGTTCTCTACTTATATATATTTTTTCTTTTCCTTCCTTCCTTTTTTTGATCTATGTTGTTTTATTATTATTGTGTGGCGCATCTTTCTTGGTGCCATATTGTACCAAGTTTTTTATGCGTTTAAATAAATAATAAATAAATAAATCGTCCTGGTTTAGAACTCTTTAGAAATACGCACCAACCGCACAGACAGGGTTCGATCCAGGACCTCCTGGTTACAAGGCTAGCGAATTCGTAGACCATAAGGCCACTAGGATCCGACCCAATGACCCATGAATTCTAACTTCTGCCGATTCATGACACTGCGCGACCACTTCGCAGTGTCTTCTTCGGTAAATAACTGTCATCACCTTCGACCTGCTGTACCCTACTGGTCACAGGTTCCCCCTAGAAACCCAGGTAACTGCCTGAATAGGACCAGTCGCTAATGGGCATCAGA